CCTTGTGTATTAGAGGGGAACATGTTTTTCAAGCAACTTTCTCAACTGGTCACACCTCCCATTTCTTGCCTTGCAACTTAGAGCCATCCCAAAGCACAGGCCGTAGATACCTCTGCCTTCTCTTCGGCTTTTATCTTTGCTCTCTCTTTTGCCGTTTCCATTTTGCTCACTGTTTTTTCACTGTCCTTTCATTTTTCCCCATCCTTTTATTTTTTGTTCCCCACAGATGTATAGATGTCAGGGCCTCATCACGAAAGTGTTTTGCAAATTGTAGCCTGAATCATACTGAAGTAATTCTGCTATTGGGTTTAGAACTTGGGAATTGCTTAACTAAGTAAAGAACCTAAAATTGATGATGTGACTACCCCCAGGTATCATAAGAGATGAGCAGAAAGCTACAAAATTAACATGCATAGACAGCTTTAGTTATAGCATCTCTGTGCTCATCAAGGCTTGAGGGTTTTTGTGTGTGTGTGTAATTATATACTATATGCTTCACTGACATTTTAAAAACTCATTAGTAAGACCAAGATTATGTATGTTTTTATTCTTGATGGTTTTGATTCCAATCCATGATATGTAACTATCATCTAAAATCTATGTTAAAAGATTTTAGGCTGAAATAAGGGACGTAAGTTCTTAAAGATTAGGAAAGCCTGATGAACGATAACTGGGGAGGCAAAGGCAAAGTATAATTTAAAAGGAAAGGAAATCAATATAAACTTGTGGAGAAGAATTAATATCATCAAAGCAATTTCTGCACTATTAGTCACTGTTTCTCAAACTCTTTTTTTTTTTTTTTTTTTTTTTATTAATATGGAGTCAAATTTCTTCATCTTTCTTTTTCAGAAGCTCATTTAAGCCTTGCTAGCTAGAAAGGCTCAAATATATACCTATGCTATGCTGTATACTTAAACTGTGATTGACTCACTTGAACTGTTCTGGTTACTGGTCTTTAATATCTTCAAATACTTAGGCTATTTGAAGGGAATCAAATAGCATAGGGTTAGTATAAAAAAATGTAAATAACGTAAAATTGTTTAGACACCTTTTTTTTTGGTAGTAATTCTTAGTCTAATTTAAAGAAATCTAGTAAGCTATCACAAATTGCAAAGGTAAATGTAAGGAAGTGGGTAAAATGGTATTTTGAAACTTTGATTGTAAAAGTTGTGGTTAGAGGTCAAGAACTTTCTGTGTATGGACAGGAATAGAGTCTCAAATACTAACAAACCCTCCTAAAATCTCAGGGAGTATGTAAAGACAGACATATGTGCAGTGTGTGTATAAATAGGTACATATGAATTCTGAAAACATGGTAACAATATTCCTTCCTGTATGCTGTTAGCCCCTAGAGATAGTGAATATCTGCAATAAGTATGTGCACTGATATTTCTAATGTGAAAAAATTAGTTAGTTAACCTTTAAAATAAAAATTGGAGGTATTTCCAAGTTTTTTTTCTGCGAGGTGAAAGAGAAAACTTGTAAATACTTTTTATGGTGCCTTACAGAAAGCCAATATTAGCTACTTTTTCCTACTAATATTTTTAGTTCACAGTTAACGATACTGTTTACTGAATATTTTTGTTCTGTTATTGTAAGCATAAAGAACCGTTGTTTTCAACAATTCTTTAAAATTGTTAGAATAAGAAGCTATTATTGTCAACTGTTTTTTCACCTTCTCCAAATGCATCCAGATAATATCAATGTGGACATTTAAGATAAAAAAAAAAAGCGCTCAGCTTTCTCTGTACAATTTTGAATCTTCTTGTCTTCTATTGTCAGAAAGTCTAACGTACAGTTTAATCTATCTGCAACAATGAGCTTTCAGTCTGTAGGAATAAAACAATTCTTATTCCTAAAAGATACTGCTTGGACTTGCTGTCAGTACATTTTGTGTAGTGCTTGAATGGCCCTATTGTCCTCTTGTACTCTCAAAATGAATGAATTTATCTTTCCCCCTCTACCAATTCCCACTTCTGCTTCTGAAGGAGAGAACCAGGCTGTGCTCTTGAAAGCACATAACTCTGAACCTTGAAAATTAGCTTCCAGTGCCCTCGTCACTCACAAAGTCGAGTTTATGCCAAGTGCGGTACAGTTACCATGAAGAGTTTGTTTGGACCATTGCAGAAATAACCTTTCTGTCACACACCTACAAAATCAATTAACCTACCACCTTCTTCAGTTCTGAAAAGTATATTCCTCACTCCTAATTTCTTAATGTTCCTGACATTCCTCACACTGAAATTCGGTACTATAAGTTCTTATTTATTAAACTTCAAACATGAAAGTAGTGGCTGTCTCTTCAGTGGGACTGGTCATATCCTTTGGGTATCTGTACAGAATATTGAGGGTTGATGTTCCAGGTATTGATCCAGACTTCAAATTTACTCCATTTATAATGCTAAATTTTGAATTCCGTATGGAAAGTTTGGTGTCTGTCTTCAAACAGCAGCTGCTATTAGAACAGAGGAAAGCTTGAAAAAGAGAAACTAAATGAGAAGATAGGACAGAAATTTTAAAGATGGTATATGGAATATGTAGATGAGTAACTGTCTGTTTATGTTTGCTGTAACACAAGCCAAAATCATGAAATTAAATTCATCCTTATCAGATTAAAATAAACATACATGTACAAAAGGGAAGTACCTTTTTTGCAGAACTGGTATTTAGGAAATTCAGGAACGCAGGATGCTGTGGAGGTCTTAAACCAGGAGCTTGTTTAAATTCCTTGGGGATGTGGCTGTCGATGGCTATTAAGTGCGATGGTTTGGCAGCAGCTGTTTGTTCCAGGACTTTCTGAGCTGGAAATCCCCAGATTGCTGGAAGCTTATGTGGGAAGATGAGAATGTACCTTTTCTTGGCTTACATGTTTTTTATGACAGTTGCCAATAACAATTCCTTAAGGGGAAACTACTGCATGCACTGGATGAACTTGTGATCAAGCTTAATGTGATAGTTCTTATGTTCACTCCTCTTTTCATCATTACCCTTCTTTTATCCTCAGTAACCTCTAATCTGGACCTAAGAGTCTATTAAACTCCTTTTACGCACATTTTCTGATAGTCCTTCAGCTGCCATTTAATACCAAAGAATATGGTGCAGTTAGCCAGGTTCAAGCATGGTCTTATTCTTGCCCTTTTAAAATGTGGCACTCTTAGAACAAATTATAGGCAAACAACAGATGCATGCCTCCAATTTACCACTTACAAGTGCAAACCACTTAAGTGTAGAAAGTAAAAAGTTGGTTTTTAATTTTGTTTTGCTCGTCCAATTTATGACATTGCTACTAATAGAAGTCAGAGTTTAGTAGCATTTTTCTATCTTCACTGTTTTTTACCGTATATTTCAGGTTTCTGTTTATGTCATTGGTGATGTCTGAGAATTTTTCTTTACCACAGAACACACTGTCAAGATCATGCTCAAAAAGAGATTATATTGCCCACTGCTTTCACATAGAACTGGTTTTTGAGGATAAATTAGGGACTATGTAGGCTTTGTGGAGAACTTTGGTCTTCTCTAAAGCATATTTCTCAGTATCAAAACCATTGATTAAAAAAAAAATGGGTGTGAAGGGGTGCTAAAGTTGAGGAAAAAGAATAAAAATGTATATTTTGCAGAGAATGAAGAGAACTAAAAAAAATAAAAATAATTATATGAATAACCATTCATATAGCTAACCTTCATATGCTAGGAAGATTGTTGGAAAGATTTAAATTTTGAATTTTCATTCCGCTCTGAAATCCACACCTTGAATACTCATTACCAAAGAAGTATTTGATGGCCTTATTCCTGTTCTTGATGTATTTAAAATGTAACTTCTTTTGTCAATTTTTATTTGCTCATGAGCTTTAATGTTGTTACAGAATTTAAAAACCTCATGAAGATAGACTTGTCAGTGATGCAGACTTAAATCTGTATGTAGTAGAAAAACAACCTCCCCTGCAAATGCAGGTAACTGCTGAACCTTTTGTCTGCAGTGGTCACATTTTTATCTGCCCATATCTGCTCTCACTTAGCTGTCTTTTGAGAAGTGACTTAATATCTTGCACATCATGTATGTGGATTTCTTCTTTTCGCTTGAGTGAGGATTTTTTTATTTCTGTTTTGTGTTTTCAAGAAGTCAGTTAATATTCCTAGCAACTCAATATAAATTTGTAAAGATGATCTCTGTTAGATGAATATCAAATTAGTTTAAGAAAGAAATAATGATGGGATTCAATGTATGTTAGGAATAAACATATATGACTTAGTGATTCCAAAATAGCTGTCTTTGAGAGAGCCTCATAAGACCTCACTGAATTTGAATATTTTTAACAGGCTGTTGTATTTCAAGATTGCTTTTTATTTTAAATACCTTTTTAATGGAAAAAAAAAATTCTCAGTTCTCAAGTTTTTCAGGAAGAAAAGTAGTCAATATCTCTAATAACTAGGCCACAAATAACTGCTTATTTTAGCTATAGGGATTTTCTCTAGAACATATTTGACATATTTAATTCATGTAACACATCAGCAACATGAGCAGACAAAGGTTTAAGAACCTGAATTTTTATCCATTTTGTTAAAACATTGTTTGAAAGCAGGCAAAGCTGCTGTCAGTGAGAAGGATTTAGCCATATAAATATGTTCTAGCCCGTAAAGGATGTTTTAAGCTAGATATACTTCTGTGCTTGTAGATGTACATTTTAATATTTTAATGCAATGTGTCAGTTCATCTTTTTCCTTTTATTAATAGCTATAGTATGTGACTTTAATTTTTTTTTTTTCCCCCACATGTAATCAAACAAGATCATTCCAACAAGTTTCAAAATTAGAAGGGTAGTACTTGGACATAATTTAGTATAGCTTTAGTTTCTCCTTAATGAATTAGGAAGAGCTTGCTTGTTAATTCTATAATCTGTACTACTGAGCCTGGATTTTTGGAGTACAGTGAATTAATCGTTCTGAATATGTTTCTGATTTTTGAATAATTGAAATCTCTAATTTTATTGTCTTCTCCTTAGGATTTTAAGGCAGGATTTGGTATCACTTTAATCCCGATGAATGTGGCAAATGTGAAACAAGTGGACCGGACGGCAAAACAGTCTTTTGAATTAATTACTCCCTATAAAAGCTTTAGGTGAGAAAATTTGATATGTACATTAAAAATATGAAAATGGTGGTTTAACCTTGTCTGGGTTAAAAAAAAAAAAAAAAAGTAATGCTTTTAAAAATGATACTAAGCATTTTTTTAAATAAACAACAGAAGGATTTTCTTCCCTTCACTTAGTTGTGCGCTTCAGCAGTTATGTCTCTTAGTAAACATCATATGCCCAGAGATTTATATTTTTATGTAGCAGTCTTTGATTCTGTGCAAGGAAAGGAATTACTGCAAGCACTTTATCTTAAAGAAATTATAAAGTGCAATCCTGGGAAAAAATGCTGCATCCATTTAAACAGTAAGCATTTCCTTCTAATATAAAAAGAGACAGTTTTGTGCCATTCAGTATAAAAAGCTTCCAGTGAAGTCAGTAGGAAGTTCTACTTTGGCTGAAGCTGTGACCTTAAATGATTTTAAAGAAAACAAAATAAAAGTGTATGTTAATAAGGATATGAAAGCCAAAGTGCAGCGGTGTTTCCTAAATGAAATCTCAGTAATGCAGGAAGGGAAGAAAACGCTTTGTTCTCCTTGAATTGCTAAATGTTAACCTCAAGATAGGGGACTGAAAAGCAAACAATTTCCTTTCATTCTCAGCAGACCAGAGAAGCAGGTCAATCAGGCTTGATCAGTGATTTGAGTCTATGGTTACTTGGTAGATAGCAAGTTCTTTGACTTTCTGTAAGCTATCACTGTGTTAGTGTGTGTGTTATTATTACTTATATTTTTCAAAAAGATCAACTTAAATAAAAAGCATTTTTTGACTGTTAAATGTCACAAGTCTGTTTTTACTGCTTATTAAATTTCCATGTTTCCTTAAGTTAATTTATGCTGCTATTAAAGTAGAAATTTAGAGTTTGTTATGTGTTGGCATAAAAATGCTCAAAGTAACTCAGGATCATAATGTGAAAGTTGCAAATACTACTTAGCTCCTGCTAATAGTGTTTTTTGTTGAAAACTGAATATGCAGGTTGAGTTGTTTTTCCCTGAATAACAATACAAGAAAATAATATATTTCCCCTTAGTATTCAAATCTATGTAGAGGAAGATTTTTTTGACTTTGATTCCACATATAGATGTGAATAAATAAGAGCAACTACAGACTATTTAATTGGGTTTTAAAATAAAGATCAATAATGCAAAGAAGTCAATTGTTTCAGCTTTACAGCAGAGTCAGAAAGAGAGAAACAAGACTGGATTGAAGCACTGCAGCAATCGATAGCAGAAACTCTGTCTGATTATGAAGTAGCTGAGAAGATTTGGTTCAATGAGTCAAACAGGAGCTGCGCTGACTGCAAAGCTCCCAATCCTGACTGGGCATCCATCAATCTCTGTGTTGTCATTTGTAAGAAGTGTGCAGGTACAGTAATTAATGATGGGCCATGTGGGTTCTACAAAATGTCATATTTGCATAGCTGTGCATGTCCTCGAGTTGGCTTTTTTTAATTTTTACGGTGCCATCCTTGTAAAAGTTTTGACAAACAAAAAATGAGCATAACTTTTTAATACCACTGACTTCATCCTTATTTTAAAGCGCTTTCATGCATAAATGACAAATCTGCAAGGTGATTGGTATTGTTCTGATGAATAATCCTTCACAATCAGTGGAAATGAAGGCACACTATTTGGGAAATGAAGGCACACTACACTTGGGAAATAGCTGTTTTTTGCCAAGGATGGTTTCCAATGAAGAATAACAATTTTCAGTGGACATGGTAAATTATAAATTTGAGGTGTTAATTTGATTACATTGGGCCTTTTTTGGACTATTAACAGGGATATCTTTTTTATGTTTTTGTTTATTTGTTTTTTATATGTTAATGTCTTAAGCAGTAAAGAGCAAAATAATTCTCTTGGTCCTGTCTTTCCAAAACAAATCCTTCAAAGAATGTCCTACATCAGTCAATGTCCTTTGTTTATTCTTTACTATCAAGTATGAAAATTGCCATGGTATTTAACCTGAAGAGGATGTTATTTCTGCTGCAAATACAACCCACATCTTGTGTGTGTGTGTGTGTGTGTGTGTGTATAGAGTAGTGCTTTTATTGTATATCCTAACATCAAACAAAATTAATTAAAGAACAAAAAATATGACTTCATTAAAGTTGTGGTTTTGTTTTCTGGGCATCAGAGAAACTCAGTTTAAGTGAGTTAAAAAACTTAAAAGTGTTTTTTTATTTCCAGGACAACACAGATCTCTAGGACCAAGAGATTCAAAGGTTCGAAGCCTGAAGATGGATGCCAGCATTTGGAGTAATGAACTTATTGAGGTATTTTATGATATTTTAGCTCTTTGCTATGACTTCAAAGCTTGAATATGTGTAGAAATTATTCATTTTATTTCCAAGAAAAACAAGAATATAGATGTTAAGTTCTAATAAAGTGACTTCTAATTAAATTCTAATAAATTCTAATAAACTTTCTGGGAGTGCTGTATCTAGGAGTCTTTCAAAATATTCAGTTGTTTTGAGAAACATCTGTAGCACTTTCTCTTACCATTTGAAGCATGTAGGAAGGAAAAAGGAAAAGGGTGTGCTTTGGTGAGCAATCCTGATAGGGAGGTGACTCCTCAACAGAAGGTTAGTTGCTCTAGTGTGTTTAGTAGTGATGCTCATAGACAGAGTTGAGTAATTTCAGTGTTGGCCTTGGTTAGCATGTAAAGCTTAGTTGCTATTGCTGGTCATCATGACTATAGAACTATAAACATGTTGATTATTCATTTAAATGGAAGCCATGACTTCAGGGATTGCCCCTCCTGCAGTCTTCCAGTCTCTTTCTTGCATTCTTCACAGACATACACACACACACACAAACACACACACACAAATACATATGTTCTTTTTTTAAGCACTTTTTCTAGACATTAGCTTTGTATCTTTCATGCTGCTTGTTTGTTTTCCTTTGTAATCCTTTTTCTTATAATTCACCCAGCTCTTCATCATCATTGGAAATAAGAGGGCAAACAGCTTTTGGGCAGGAAGTCTTTCTCCAGATGAAGAGCTGCACATGGATGCCCCTGCAGAGAAAAGGATAGCATTCATTACACAAAAATACAAGGAGGGAAAATTCAGGAAAGTGCCTTTTCCGTACAAATCCAAAGAACAGTTGAATAAGGTAATAGTGGAACGGATATGTCCTTACCATGCCTTTTGTATTGATCTTTGTGAATTTTGGTTAACTTGTGAAACTAATGAAAGATAAATTCAGAATCTTGAGCTATATTTCTTACAGAGCTGAGGAAGTCTTGTTTTGGAGCCTTTACACACATCATTTCATGAAGCTGTGATTTCTACGTGACACCTATTCACCTTAGGTCATGTCGCAAGCACTAAACCTAATATTAAAGCCCTCATATATATTAAGTATAAAAGACTCTGAGTTTTAATTCTGTATTAGATAACTGTTGTTTGGGACAAGAATGATTTAAATGTAGAGTAATCTTGTGATGGTTTGAAAATAATTCATGTGTAACTAATGTATATTATTTATTTAGATACCTTGAAAAGCTTGTAGATGAGACTCTGGGTTTTGAACCTTGAGTTTTCATGTAGGGATCTTAGGATTAAGTTTTATGATTGTTTTGATGTCCAGTTCACTGACTGATAATCATGTACTGATATCAGAGACACGATTATTTAGAGTTCATGAACACTGAAGATTTAAGGAGCATTATTCAATGCTCTCAGTGGCATAAGGGTCAAATTGTCCCCAAGTATAACCAGAGACTGTAGGAAGATGTTAGCGCTAAAAATTCATTGTGCTCTGTACTGGAGATCTCATTCATTCAATGATACTTTTATCAAAAATTGAAGTGTCATTTTCTTGCACATCGTAGTTACATACAGGTAGAAAGTCAAAAAAAGAGCACTTGAAAACGTTACTACCTTTAAAACACTTCTAGGCAAAGTAGGGGCCCACCTCTTTGTATCCCTCGAATTCAGATTTGCTGGATTTCACTGGAATGAGGAAACAACCTTAGATTTCATGGGAAACTGTTTATATTTTTGCAATATAAAACCTTTTTAATATACAGTTATTGGTGATAGCTTTGCAATAGCTTTTTGATAGCTTGATTTTTTAATTTTTTTTTTAAATCTTGTAACTATTGACCCAATAAAATTGAATACCTTGCTGTGTTTTGGCATCTTGATTTTTCTATTTCTTTTTATTATTATTATTACTTTATGGAGTAATTATCTGTCAGTTAAGCATTTAACTACTGAGTGATATCATATGTAATGATCAAATTCCCTGCAGAAACATGAAATTGCAATGTAATAAGGCAGTCATTGCCAGGTAATTATTGAACCTTTACTGGACTATCTGCTATATCATCGCTTTCCTTCTGCATGCTTATATGCTTATTATAGCAGCTGAATTTTAAGAGAAGTACTGTTGTGTTGAACATTTCTGCCTTAATTATTTCAGAAAAGCCTGTTCTTTAATCAATAATTGAGATTTCAGTAAATCGTAGGAGCTGTCATGGAGTAGATTGTTGAAGTTATATAGCTACTCATGGTTTTAAGGTCGTGAACCAACAACTTTGTGCTGTTTGTCTGGCATTCTGCATAGAAATATGAAAGAAGGTAGATTTTTCAAGAGGTACTTGAAGCTTTAATTCTCAGAGAAGATGACCCAAGAATGAAGACACACTGAACAGTAGTCATCTTTCTTACTGATACTATGAATTTGAATTTCACTATGGTTCCTAATAACACAGTTTAACATTCAGATGTTGTCTTTTTTTTTCTTTTTTTTTTTGTTGAATTAAAAGGCTATAATAACAATTTGTTGTTTTTAGTAGTTTAATGTGTGATGGGAGATGAGGAGGATTTTTGGCAAAACGAGCAAGATGTCCACTGCTTACACCCTAGTGAAACTGGTAGCAGCAACATTTTGCAGGATTTGCTTTTTTTTTTTTTTTTTTTTTTTGGTTGATGGAGCTTTTTTTTTCCTGGTAAATTCACACCTTACTTCATCATTCCTGATACTTCCCAGTGTTTATAGTCTTTGTGGATACAGAGGAACTGCATCAGAGGCGAAAGCATTTGCATCTAAATTGCAAGTACTTGTTGCCAGTAACTTTCTAATTTAAACAGACATCTTTTCCCTCTTTGTGATCAGGCTCTATGTGCTGCAGTAGTTAAACAAGATGTGCTGGAAACTCTGATGTTGCTGTTCAGTGGGGCTGATGTCATGTGTGCCACTGGAGATCCTGTTTACAGTACTCCCTACTTACTAGCCAAGAAAGCTGGACAAAGACTACAAATGGAGTTCCTCTACCATAATAAGTTCTCAGGTAGGAAATGGACTACCTCTACCATAATAAATTCTCAGGTAGTTCTCAGGTCTCTTTGCTTTGATCTTCTGATATTATATAGAGTAAAAAGGAGGAAGGAACAGAAGAAAAAATGGAATTTTGTTGAACAATAGTAATATGGGAGGGGAGGCAACATGAACTGGATTTTAGTAGATAGCAAATGATGATTATGATTGACTTATTTGCTCAGACATCCATCATATTTAGCACTTAAGCAGTCAAATACCTGATGATGACTAGAGGCCTCATACCTTTGTTTTGTAGCACAGAAGAAAAACATTTCTTCTGGCCTTATTACCAGCCACTTACCTGAAGAAAAAAAAATGACTAGATATAGTTAACATATAACCAAAGTAGTCCTCCCCAGTGGATTGGCATTTTGTTAATATTAATTTGATATATGTATCTACTGTACTCAGATCTACGAGTTTTCACAAACGCTCCTCCCAAGTATAACTCATGTTTTTAACCTATAATAATACCTATCCCACCCTTTTTCCAGTCACAACTTCTATTACAGCTTCAAGCACATGATAACCTGCAAGTCTCTCCCTGGAAGTCTGGTCTCAATGGATGACTTATGAGGCTTGTGAAGCCAGAAAGCTGCTATTAAGAAATTGCAGATGTGTTAAAAGCCTTTTGAGTGTTTGAATTAGTCTGTGAATGAAAGTTTACATGCAGATTATGCTGGTAGAAATCTGTGCTATACTGCAGCCAGCAGTATGGACATACTTCTGGACCTCTGCAACTCTGCAAAATGACACCACAAGAGTTATTAACGGCAAAGAGCTTTCGTAGGGATTCTTAGAGCGAAAGACAATGCCTTAAATTCGGTGTGAACCCTGCCTTGAAACAAGAGCAGATATTGCCTTGTAGTATGTTGAACTGAATCACTGCGTAAATGAGCAGCTGTGGGTTTTTTGTTTGTTTGTTTGCTGCTTACGCTGCGCAGTGGTCATGAAGCTGCAGAGAGGTTTCTTGCCTTGGCTCTGCAGGCAGCGCTGCAGTGAGCCTGGACTGGGGTTTGATCCTGCCCATGGGGAAAGGAGAATCATTTCAGGCTGACTGTGATTGTCCTAATCATCATCTGGCTGCTGCCAGAGTTTGTGCATTCAATTCTGAAATCAAGATAAACCATCTGGTTGGTGTGTTTCTGTTTTTTAACCCTCTTAAAAAAAAAAAAAAAATTTATACAAGAAATGTTACAGACCAACTGTAGCTGTGAAAGCAGACATGAGGAGAAATGGATATAACTTGTAGTAGAGGAAGTTCTGTGTGTTGCTTACTTCTACTTTTATTTTTCTTAATAGATTTTCCAAACACTGACGCTGGTTTTGAAAGTGGCTTCTCTCAAGATTCTTCACATTCCACCTTTCTTTGTGAATTTTTATACAAGGTTTCTTCTAATACTGCTAAGCTTCTTACAGAGAAGAAATTAAAAGAAGGTATTTCACTTTTACTTTATGTGCTTGTATGCTTTTTAAAATATGTATATATACATTTATATATAACAGACCTACTTCATAATCCTGTAGACCTACTTCATATAAAGTAAATGATGATTGTCTTGATCTCTTTATTGAAGAAAATTCAAAAGAAAATTCAACTACTGAAAAAAGATTATACTGATTATTGATAAAGACATTTAAAAATATTTCTCACTTTAATAATATTTACATAAATGTGACTGCCAAAAATGAGAGGGAAAAAGTTATAATTTTGCTATTGCCTGAAAACTCTAATGTATCTTAGTGATGTCTAGAAAGACATTATGAGAAAAGGTCTATCGCTATTTCAAATATAGAATTTATAATCTTTTTTTCTTCTAATGTTTTCTTTTTCTTCATATACTTTCATAAAATCTCATTATGATGAACCAGTATGGGTTATGCATGCTATGGATGGTCAGGTGTTGATGGAATCATTTTTGATTTTCCTCCTGTTCTTACTGCCATGATGGTTAGAGCAGAGCAGCAGTGTGTGGGAGAGACAGGTTCAATTCCCTGCTCTGCCTGAGAAGGTTCAGTGCATCTGGTCGCGTTACCAGAGGACGTGAGCTGCCTCTTCAGCGCTGGAGAGGAGGAATGAGCTCTTTTGCTGAAGCAGTTGAGACTCATTAAGCCAGGTCCCAAGGAGCAGAGAGGATGCCCAGTGCTTGGAGGGGGGTCACAGCTCTTGCTGAAGTTTTGGGCCTTGTCCCGGAGTTGTTTTGTTTTGCTTTGTTTTTAATGCAGTTTGAGGAAATGGCCGGGAGCCAGAAGCCAGTTAGGCTCTGTAACCATTAAGTGCTTCTCGCAGTGTGTGCATCTCCTTCGGAGGCAGTTGTCAGTGCTGCCTTCTGTGCCAAGGGATTTCAGTACTGTGCTTGGCGTCCCCGAAATGGCTCTGTGGGCGCAGTGCTAATTGTAAATGAAACACGAGGAATCTCTCAGTGCTGTGACCCGAACCCAGGTTTTATGAATAATCAGGCAGAGTACATGAAAAAAAGTACGGGTTGTTTTTCACCGTGTGGGTTTCAGATAGTGCGGGAGGGAGGAAGCCAGCTTTGAGTGCAGCCCTCATTAAAGCAGGAGCGGTGGTTTCAGCGGGGCTGCCTGGCTTGGGGGAGTGCTAGTTAGCAGCTGTTGATGGGCAGTGGGAAGAGACCTCAAACACGGGGCTGTTCTGATGCAGTTCATCAAAAAAAACATAAGGTTAGCGCTGTGGGGGTGTCCGCTGGATTTTGTCTCACTTTTTAATGTAAAAGTTTTAATGGCATCCCATTAGAAGTCTTGGTATCACCAATTTAACCTTGGATATGGTAACAATTCATGGAATAGTAAAGCAGTGAACTGCTTTCTAGAAGGGGTATCACTGGAGCAGGGCGAGGGGAAACAAAAAATACAAAAGCCTAACATTTCGTGTTTTGTGCCCAACTACAGTAACCTTTTATGTTATCAAAACCTTTATCTCAGGCTTGCTTTAGATTTTAATGTCTGTATCTGGATATAATGTATATAAAACTGGATTTAAACTAATATAAAAATAATGGGAATAAACAAACAACAACCTAAAGTAGTCCCCAGGTATTTATAAAACTTGAGTGAACCATACAGAAATTTTGTACCAAGTTCAAAAAAAAAAAAAAAAAAGTAAAATATCAGTTAATATATCACGTGAAATGATGGCGTGGTGGTTATTTATTGCTATTACTGTTACAATCCTCCAGAGCTATTTTACCAAATTCTTATGAATATTTTATGAGAATATATGCAAAAATATAGAAATTTTAAATTTAAGCCTGTAGAAAAAAACAGTGAATTTTGTTTTAGGACCTCTTTCTGTGATTTTTTTTCTGTGATATCAAACAACTGATTTTTCCATTATTTCTTTAATCGCAGAATGCAACAGAAGATGGTGCACTTTGGAAAGCGGCTTTCTAAGCTACTACGAAAATGATAAAGCTACCACTCCTAATGGAATGATTGACATCAGTGAAGTCATTTGTCTTGTAGTGCACAAGTCAGACTTCTTTTCAAATAGAGGGTAGGTTCCAGAGTTTTTAATTTCATAAATTTGGATACAGTAATGCTTGTTGGTTTTCATGGTAGTTCACTTGTCGCTGAATTTTGAACATGCATTTTAGAGAGAGAGGGGAAAAAAAAAAAAAGCTGAATTGTTTTATGTTGACTTGAAGAAGTAAGTGCTAAGTGGTATTTGGAAATTTTTCTTTTAATAGTGATATAGTGAAAATGCAAAGATAATATAAAATCTTAGCATAAATTAGATATGTCTGTTTCTTTTTAAGACTATAATGCATATTCTCAACTCTTAAAAGGTTACACAATGATTATTGTAATTATTCTTTCTGGGAGTGACCTCTACCTCAAGCTAAAACTCTTGCCTTTATTTTTTTTTTTTTCTCCTAATAAATAATAATAGAGCAGTTTAGAGCTTTTTACAATCCTTTAGGCTTTGGTTACAGATATGTTGGCCGCCGAAACCCATTCTTTGTTCTGCAAGTGTAGCTATTGAACAGTCAATTAGTCTGAAGATGATGACTTTTTCTGCCTGCTTCTGCTCTTCAGGTTCTCCAGCTTAGGCGCAAGGGTAGGTAGTTCTTTCTACATAGTCAGAGTAGTGTAGTGGAGCAAACATTTGCCTTCTTGGAGAGTTCTTAGTAGGTGATCTTGACATGACTTCTTCTGTAGTCTTGTTTTTCTTTTATATCTATCACACGTGCTGTCATCCATCTACAATGTTGAGAGTTTACAAGAATCAACTCCTGTCTTGAGTTTAGAATATAAAGATGGCATATATTGAAATAAGATATAAATGGTACAACAAATATTATGAATTTTTTGCACTCCTTTGAAAGTTAAAGGCTTTTTATAAGACATTAACACAGAGGAAAAAGTATGTATACACATGTATGACCGAGAGTCATGAGGGAAAAAAAAACAGTATTTTCAAGAGTACTCCCCGACTTCAGCACATTTTTGAAACACTGGTTGTTAAGAAGTGTTAAAATGCTGCACCAGTAGGAATGGATACATATGAAATTTCTCATGGAGGGATGAGTTCTTAAAAATTCTGAAGCTTATTGAAAAAATGGGTCATGGAGAGGAAGAAAATCCTGCCTTATGAATGACTGTGAAAGAGTGACAGAGGTGAGCAAAGGTGTTTTGTTTTGACTGCAAAAACTTGATGGAAATTATTTTTAGCTTTGTCCAAAGTTATCAATACACAGAAGGAAATACAAGATGTGTGGTAAAGTAAAACTGCAGAAAGACTGAAATCAGTTGTCATTGTTACCCTTAACAATGTGGCAGGATTTCAGTGCATGTACGTTATGGGTAATGGATTTTTACAGGCTCTTTAAAATTTCTTTTTAATCTTTTTGTGTGTATGAAAAATAACAAACAGATCATTGTACTGTCTATATAATACTGTAACACTTGTTGCTGCAAGAGGTGCTTGTGAAAGAATGGGAATGATTAAGTATGCCTCAGAAAAGGATGCTGTGAGGAAAGGACCCTAAATATTACAGAAATAAAGGAGGTAGGAAGGAAGAAATTGTGACAGATTTCTTTGTCCATCACCTTACTATAAAATACCATGTAGATAGTTTATTCTAGGGTAGTGTCTGTTAACGGCATCCAGAAAAAATAGGAATAACAATGTTCTCTTCTGTCATGGAATCTAAGCTTTTGCTTTCTACATCTCCACATAGTTGGATAATACCTAAGTTAAAATGTGTCATCTAAATACCTCACTGTTGGGGAGTGGCAAGTGCTCTGAGATATGTCCTTTGGTATTTTTATGTTAAGCTTTGGTAAATTAGGTATTTTGTGTAGTGAAACAATCTTTCCTTAAAATGCTTATACTATTGGTTGGATTTGAATATTTAAATGCAATTTTCAAAGAGGTCATTGAAAAGAAAAAATTGATACAGGGTGAGTTCTTAGACTAACTAGATAAATCTCCAACATTGAAAGGAAAAAGCATGCCCCAGTTGATTTAGATTTTAGGGAGAGGTCACAATTTCACTCTAATTTCAATTTGATTGTCTTCCATACTCTTTTTTTTTTTTTTTTTTCTTTTAAGTATACTATGCTATTTTAATATACTTTTACTTGAGAGTTACAATTGGAAATAAATGGGTCCATTTAAAAAAAAAAAAGTATATATATTAAGAAAAGGAAACATCTTTTAAGAACTTTTTGAGCTACGCCAGCAACTTAAAAGTATAGGTCTCAGAGCCCAAACTGTTTTTGGTAGCGGCAAGCAATACAAGGAGGGTAGTGGCCACAGATTGCAGGAGGAGGAAGTTCCTCACAGGAGGTTCGATGAGGAAGCTAGGAGAAGCCCTTCCATTAAAAAATGCAGAGGAGAACTGAAATGGGCTGCCAGGCAAAAACAGTAAAATCTCCATGCTTGAAGATTTTCAAGACTTGCCTAGAGAAAACCACTGGTGACCTGATTCAGGCTTAGCGATAGTCCTGCTCTGAACATGAGAGTGGCCCGAATGACTTCTAGAAGTCCGTTTCAACCAACGTTTCTGTGATTCTATGGGAATTTGTTTGCAACTTCCTAGTCAATTAATTGGTCTGCTTGTACTGAATCTAAACCAAATGTTTTAAATGCATCACACTAATATTCTTGCTGAAATCACATGAAATTGCAAAAGCAAATAATTGCTTCTGATTTTTAATGACTATATTTAAATATTTTTATTAATTTCAGAATTGAATTAGCTTTTAAACATATTAACTGTAGCTTTTAAACATATTAACTGATGTAATGTACTTTGATCATGTTATGTTATATAAAATACCCAATGTTATTATCCAGGTTGTAACATTAGAGGAGAAATGCAGATGGATTCCCTTCCAAAGGAATGAAATAATTAAACCTTGGAGAGAGAAATTAAGCTCTTGCGCTTGTCTACCATTATGAAGACTAAATACAGCTGTCTTTTTTTCTGTGCTTGCTTTAGGGACATCTTTACCTTTGAAATCTACTTAATGTCAGAACGTGCTTTTCTATTTGGAGCTGAAACTGCATATTCACAAAGAAAATGGACTTGGGCAATAGCTAAGGTAATACCGACAATTATCCTTTCAAGTTTGGCCAGGAGCCTTTGCACAAAGTGTAACGTGACATTCTTGGCTTAAAATCTTTTGGGAAGACATTCTTGATGAATACTGATCTGTCTCCTGGGTAAAAGTTTGGGTTTTTTTTTTTGTTTGCTTGTTTGTTTTTCTTTTTTAAAACAGCAATAAAAAAATTCTGTGATTTAGTGTTTGAAATGAGGTAATACAACAAAGTGAAAAAGGAATTGAAATTACTGGCCTTAAGAATATCTTAAAGATGCACTAATGTAAGAACAATTGCAAATTTCAGTGGATAATGATCTACACTCAGAGTTTAATTCAGCTAAATTGTTTACAGTTCCTGCAGCAAGAAAATGAGTACAAATTGTAAAATTCCTAAAGCAATAATGTACCTAATACAGTACCAGGTGCTAATAGCCATGTTGCTAATAAAATTGATAGCAACTTAAGAAAATATACGGATTGTAGAGTATAAGCAAAGTGTGCTATACTTGATTCCATAATTTAAACCTAATGTTTATGTCCTTTTATGAATGATAAATCCCAAAGTCATCTTTTAATGCAGAAATCATCTTTGTATTGTACAGATTGGCACTATCTTGACTTTTTTAAGGGAAGAAGGGGCAATGTTGTTCTGACTCTTGTCATTCACTTTGGTAGCATTTTGTTCCCCCTGTGGCTGGATGTTTATTGGAGAGGGACTGTGACCTGGTTGGGCAACTGTACTACAAGGACTGCCACACCCTGGACCAGTGGCGAAAGGGCTGGTTTGCCCTAGATAAGTCAAGCCTGCATTTTTGTCGTGAAATGGAGAATGCACAAGAAGACTCAATATATTTAAGGAGGCTGCAAGAGCTAAGTAAGAATTTTAGTTAACATCTTGAATTCTGGAAATACTCTACAGAATTAATTTACTGATTTTACATTCCTATTGCATTTTAAAGTCATGAACATTAGGGAGCTTAGTAAAGATCCCTTGCATGTGCGTGATGCTATCCCAACTCTTCTAAATATGGTGAAATTCTGTCTTGTTTTTTTTCCCCACTTGATGGCACATGGTAGAGATATTCTCACTGCTTCATAATGAATGAGGACAATTTTTGCTCCAGTTGCAGCAATATCTATCTTAACAAGAGTACAGAATTGTATAATAATACATGACCTTTTGGGACTATAGTTTCATCTTTTTGACAGAGCAGAAGTGCTCACTGCAGAATCTATTCTTGAGTTGATTGACAGGCCTAGTTTTTAAATACTCTAAACTATTGGAGAAATTATAATTCCCTTTGAAGAGTATTTCGGGGACTATTTTTTTTCCCTCTTTTCCTCCTTTCCCGATACTAAAAGTCATCTTTGCTAGATTTCATGATGTGGAAAGGTTAACAATATTTAAAGCAGCCTCCCACAACCATTTTTATATCAATGTCTGTAATCATACTTTGAGCCTCTTTTAAACGTATCTACCTTAGTTGTTGTTATATTGAGCAAGGCAATATGCAGTTTATGAAAGTAAAAATGAATAGAGATTTTGTAAAAGTAATATAGATAATAATTTAGCACTGCATTGATCATCTTTGTAGGTGCTGTTACATTTCAGATTGCAGGAACTTGCATCTTCTAAACCGTTATGTCTCATAAAATTTATATTTACAAATTTAATGTAATACAACACGCTGTAGCATGTTTTCACACTAAGAAATATCTATTTAATGTTTTCTAGTACTTCTCTTGTAAAATTTAGGGTTTTTTTGGTAGTCTTTTATATATTATAAAGCTGCATTCTATATTTTAAAGGTTTTTAAGAGTTTCATGCTGCTTCTGTCATAGATCATTAAAAAATGTTTATATGTGTGTACTTGTATGTGTGCATATATGTATAGAATATGTATATAATATGAATGTGTGTGTGTGCGCTTTGTTTTTAGCAATCAGTAGTGTGATGCAAAATGGAGAAAAAATAGATGTCCTGCTGCTTGTTGAAAAAGGAAGGTAAGGGCCTGTTTGAATAAAGCTTTGTGATCTGCCTATATGCTGATAGCTTAGAATTCTTTCTAATCAGTCATAGAATTTATTCACTTAAGGTTGCCAGAGAGTCAGTAAATTTGCAGATATTTTAAAGGAGGAAAGGCTTTGTGTATTAATTACATTTTGTGTCTGTGTCAGGAAATGCTAACAAGTACCGCTTAATTAAATGCAGTTTTCCCACTGAGAAAATTATTCCCAGTCAGATTAGTCTGCCAGTAATTGTTTCTTCAAAAAGACACAGCTTCCTTTAGCTTGTAAAGAAAAAAAGTACTTCTGTGGAGCATTTATCACTTCTCAGTTTCTGCCACTCTTATGTCCAAGAATTTTCTATGCAAACCCATGTAGAGTAGGACTTGAGAGGGTATGTATGATTCACCTGGTTAGTCTTACTGCAATGTCTGGTTTAAGTTAGAAGCATACTTGCTAGAAAAAAAAATATGTGTCAAGTCTGCTTCAGTGTTCTGCTATCATGGCTATAATGATATGGGAGGGTGAAACATATAAAAGGAGGTTAGGCTTCTGATAGGGTATTTCTGCTTTATTCAGAGTTAAAGGGTAGTAAAATTATTGGAAATTAGAATTAATTTATAAAGGATTTCTTCATCTTGTGGATACAATAATGGGCAAACATCTGTACCAGGAATCATCCTGTGTTGAATCATCCTGTGTTTACTCAGCCTTCTGAGCAGCTGATATTAGTCTTTTTAGGACTAAAATATCAGTAGAGAAAGAGACTGATAATTAGGGGGGGGAGAGAGAGAGAGAGAGAGAGAGAGAAACTGATCTGATTGTATCTCTCTTGGGAAGAGGGGAGGGAGTAGATTCCTTTGACATCTATGCAGAGTTGAAAAAACTCCTTGCAACTTACCTCAATTTTAAGTCTTCCTCAGATACTATTTAAGTATCAAAAATGTGTAGCATATCAGAATTTAACAAGGTCGTGTAGATCAGAAACAAACACCTTTTTCTTGATGTTTTTTTTCAAAAATCATACTAAAAAGTTCAACATTAAATAAGATACATGGAGCAACTAGGGAACTAGAGGTATCTTATTCAAGGTACAGTCCAACAGATTAATGCTAACTGTATATCTAATTTCATAGACATCAGTGCTGAGGAAAACTTTTAGTTCCAAATCAGGTTTTATTATTTCTTCATTCTAATATTTCTGTCAAGTGAAGACAGGTTTTCCCTGAACTTCTTTACTAGTTAATAGAAAATCTGAACTATTTGAAAATAATATTAAGTGGAGCACTGGCTCATGTATTATGACCGTGAACATGTTGAATTTTTCTCCACTGAAGTCTTCTATGATAAGTGATTCTTATATCATGATTCTCACTTAAGATATTTTTCCAAAAGTCTTCGGGTGTTCAGCAGAGTTGCATGGTATCTTGCAGTGGTGAAAAATTAATAAGTATAAAATTATCTTTGTCTTCAGACTCATTTTTTGTGTGTTTTTTTTTTTTTTTTTTAATAAAGGTGCTACTTCCCCTTATGCACTACGCCTGTCCCTTGCTCTAGGTAAATTCATTAATGCAAAATAATAAATTTGTTTAAATAAATGGCATGCCAGGGCTCCAGTTTTGTCTTTAATCTTATACCAGTGCCTATCTAATGGCAAGTTTGTCATTGGGACTTGAAAAGTGATAAGTCTTTATCCTTGATCGATCGACAACTTTCACATTAATTCTTTAGTTAGCTAAACCTAGCATAAATTATATAGTCACCAAAATCAGTGATAAGAACATAAAACAAAATGAATAGGGTTTGTCCAGAATTAATAGAAATTTGAAAGATAATGATTTTTTTCTATAAATAAAACAAATCAAGCCAGTTGATGTCCTATATCATCTTGCTAAATTTTCTTGGGATGAATGATGGAATACTTTGAATGTTTCCCTGTCATGGCTCTTATTGTTCTTGTTTGTGGTCCAACATCCCGCTACAAATCTTATGCCCATTTTTCAAGTCCTAGTGACTGAGTTCGTTAATTGTGGGAGGTCATACCTTATGAATATCATGTATTTTTTTGTAGAGAAAAGAATGATTAAGTTGTTACAAACTGCTTTCTCATTTAAGAGTGATTCCATGCCAAGTAAACAATTTCAGAACTGTAAACATGTGTAGATTTGCTGCTAAAATTAATATAATAAATCCATGGATTTGGACTTTTAAGAAATAATCACCAGTAGATTTATGCTTATGTTAAATTTATGGCATATATACACTGAAAGTTCATCTGATTCATAGCTGCTATTTAGATGGAGAGTTGCTGTTTTCACTTATGGGCAACAAGTAGTTGCTTTGGTCATTAAATATTTAGTTTTTCTTTACTTTTTGTTTGTTTTGAGGGGTGGGATTTGGAAGATCCATAAAGCTTTCTAGGTCCTATAGTAGAAGAGAGAATAGTATGCAAAGGCACATGACGCTTTTCATAGATTTTGTTTTTGCTCTAATTCTTTTGTTTTATGTTTCACTCTGAAGTTTTGTAGGTATGGAAGGTATGGGTCCCATCTCTTCTCCTCTCTTCCTTTTTTTGCTTTCTTTCTTCTCTAATCTTGTATTCTGAGCAAGATGGCATTTGATGCATCCAGCATAATCATACTGTACAAATTGTAGATTCAAGAGCAGTTCTAGGAAGGTGAATTAAGCAGATGTAGTAGATGTATTATTTTTCTTTTGAAGCTCAGAGGTGTTCTCTATTTTTCACAGTATTCCAAGTGTTTTTTTCCCTAATTTCAGAATTTTAACTTGTTTCAAATAATTAAGATATTTCATATTTATGTTTATTAATGTAAATGAAATCAGGACCACATTTTCAAGGCACTTATTGAAATTTTATTACAGTATGATTTCTGTTAGAAGTTATTGGCAATAATCACCACACAAGTCAAAATCATGACTTCTCCCAATGCTGTTTGTTGATGCTGTAATCAATGCATAATACTTTTACCTCCTTAAATGTTCTGCTTTCATAATTAAGCTTGTTTCTTGATTTCTTTTTTTCCATAGAAGTAGCAAACCACAGTCCAGATCGGTATCTGGTGTTTCCTTCTGTTGTCACCCAGAGATGTCTTCTGGTTTTCTTCTCATATTCAGTTTCTCATTTTCCCTTCAATTTTCCTATGTATTAAGCAAATTTTCAAAGCATATGATTAATGATACTGGATTATTTGTTGTCATCCAAACAAAAGTTCTTTAGTAGATGGGTGAAGAAGTGTAACTGCTATTACTTCACAGAGCTCAATAGAGGGACCTGATTTTATACTGAAGAAGGGAAAATTATCTGAAAAAAATGTATGCAGTGATAAATATATCTTCAATATATGCAAGGTAATGCCAAATATCTAGTCTCCTACTCTAAGGAAAAGCAGCTGTGCAGACCAGACAGCACTCAAATGTTCCTTCATTATTTTTGCTGCAAGTGTTAAACTCTCTCTTAGGTGCAAGTGAGTGTAATCCAGAGAGTGGTTTAGTGTTTTTTTCTTTTTTTTTTTTTTTTTTTTTATTTTATTTTATTTTTATTTTTAACCTCTGTTACACTTCTCTTGTAGTTAGATCTTTCTTATAAGAGGTAATAAATCTTCCCTGCATAGTGGCACAATTTCTTTATGCTGATGGTTCATTAATTACAGCAATTTCTGGTTAAATCTTTGATGAAAGCAATAAGATATATTGTAAAATTCAATTATAACCACAAAATTCTGGAATCCATAGGTAATCTGAAAATAAGACTCAACCAATACTGAGTAAAAGGACTTAGGAGTCTAAAGTGATGTACCATTAACATGCCTGAAGAAATATTGCTGACCTTTCTTACATATCTCTCATCATCAGTGACTTTTCTGTGCTTTAGTTGCAGTTGTTTTTTCTTAAATGATTTGATAGTATCAGATATCTTTTTATTTTCTCAGTTTTCATATACTGTAGACTATTAGCTAAACTTCCCCGAGGACACTGAGCTGTGCTGCTGTTTCCCTTCTTCCCTCCTCATAGCCCTTATCCAGAATCACTTAATATCACTACTTTACTAATACAGACTTGTACAACAAAGTTTTCAGAAACAGGCAAAAAACACTGTACTTTGTAGAATATGCCTGTGAAGATGGGATAAACATAGGCCAGCAAATGTTGCACTGTTGCACATCTGACTACCAATGGAGAAGGATATAGTGATAGTCCATGATCAAGATGAAAAGCCACCAGCAGCTGGCTTGGGGATGATTGGTAGGAAATGTAGAGCTTTATAAGTGTTGCAGTAAAATCTTTCAAAGATGATTACTTTTACAAGCTGAAAAGTGCTCTTGACTTTAGATTGCTTGATCATGTAGTGAATGGGACATCAGGACACTTCAGCAGATGCTTATTTGTTTAATCTTAAGCCTTGCATTTAATAAAATTCTGTGTTTTGGTAATAGGTATGTTTCTTACTGAACCCTTTGGTATTTACTTTTACTGTCTGTTGAAGACTGTGGGAGAGGTGATGACATGAACATGAATAGCAGAGACTAGAGCTGCAAAGCTGTCTCTTAATATTTGAAGTTCTGTAGAAGACTTGGTGAGGTTTGAGGAATTTTCCACATGCCTGCTGATGACCATTTCCTCTTTATTTTTAAACCATTTTGCAGGTGCTCAGAAAGCGATGTCAACAAACTATTTCCAAGTAGGAAAAAATTGTTGTTTAGTTTACCTGGAAGTGTTAAAAATTTATACAGAAGAGATAGTTAAACTTCTTATTTATGCAGTGTTGTCTTTTCATGCGTGGTTTATATATATTCTAGGTGTACTCTGTCAAGGGAAAGGCCAGGTGGGATTTGAGATGAGCTTTCCAAGCCAGTTCTGCAGTGAATTGACTGAATTCAGAACTGGGTCTCGGCTTGGTTTCATTTCCTCTTTTGTGGTTTTGTGATAAATGTTGAAATTGCCTCTCTGATGTTGAAATTGTCTCCAAGGTGACTCTTCTGGAGATCTTTTCCTGGGAAAAGATAATATGTTTTAAAAATTAATTAATTACCTTCTTTTGCAAGTGAAATTCCACATCATAAGCAAGATTTCTCATGTCTGTGTTTTCCCATCAGCTTCTCTGCTCATGACTGTTGCTGCTGTGCAATTTCTACTTGAAGAAATTCCTACTCCTTTTCTTTGTCAGTTGAAAGAAACCTGCCACTCCAGAAACAAAGTTTATCTTTGCATTTTGTCATATTTTAGAAAATAATGAAAAAAAAGTGTCTCTTGGTAATTGGTGTAGTAATCCCATTGAGAGGAAGATGGAAGATGGATATTCAGTTTTGGATAATTGGTATATATGTCGTGATTCAGACTCATATCTCCATGAAAATATACAGATACAAGGCATTTAAGTTAGCTTTGTACTTTAATATCACTATTTCTTCTCACTTACTCTAATATCTATTCACTGGTAAACAGCAGAGTTGCCTTTTCTTTTATTTAGATGTATTTATATTTTCAACTAACATATCCTGCATCCTTACATATCATATTTTTTTGGATAACAAAAAATCTGTTGATACTTTCTCTTTTTATATAGTACTCTAATGAAAATGCTGCTGTTCTGTAGAAAAAGAAAATAGTAATATGTATAAATGTGTGCTTTAAAAAAGAAAGTGCGAAGCAATTAAATGTCAATTCTAAATCACAATCCTCACCATTGCCAATTTAGGAATAATAATAGTGAAGAACAGTGTAACTATGTGAAAGCCAAAAAAGTGAGAACAAGAAAGCTTTCTCTTATATTGAAAGTTGTCTGTAATTCTGTGCTTCCTGCTTAACAGTTACTTGAATGCATGAATGTACAGTAATTCTATGCTGAAGAATAAGGGTGCTGTAAAAAGCAAACTCCACCACTTCTTTCTGGGGAAGAAGGTTCCTTGGTGTTTTATTCCAAATATTTCCTTAAAACCTTGAATTTGATTTTTATTATTTTCTTCTTGACAACTACTGTGTTTTATAGTGGGATAACAACAGATATCTGTTTTCAAAATATTTTTTAAATCTTGCAGAACACTGTTCATCCATGGTCATACGAAGCTGGATTTCATGGTTTGGTATACTGCAATTGAAAAAGCAGCAGGTACTGATGGCAATGCCTTACAAGATCAGCAGCTCAGCAAAAATGATGTTCCTATTATAGTGAGCAGCTGCATAGCATTTGTTACACAGTATGGTAAGTATAGCAGATTTTTATTCAACTTAGGATCATTTGTGTAATACCTAAGCTGCCACACCATCAAATCTCATTGAATGGATTTATGCAAACATAAACTAAAACTGTGTCTCCCATTAGCTCTGCTGCTCGTGGATGTGATATCAAAGTATAGTGCAGTGCAGTGGAGAGTTAGCAGTTTGGGGAGAGGCAACTCACTAAGTTTTCTTCCTTCCTATTTTTATATTTTATTTTCCTGATTGATGTGGCTCAGCCTTTGAGTTCAATGCCTTATGGCAGAACACATCCAGCCAAAATTTATCTGTGATCAGGTTATGGTGACCTGGATTGGTCAACATATCTTCGGGAAACTTGTATAGACCGTGCTACTTGTGCTGAGCCTTACGCGGGCTTCTGTTCAGCATAATGACCTAAAGAAATATAATTGCTCGGTGTTTGCTTAAGTAATAATCATCAGCATAATTTTCCATAGTATTAGAACATATATAGATGATGTCTTTGTCCTTTGTATTGCTGAGAATTAATCAGTCCTCCTGTGAAACACTGCGTATTTATCAACTCTGTACAAGTCTGTTGTCATGATAATGCTTTCTGTGACCTCTGCCAATATAAGAAAGCCTAATTTGTATTTCATTGCTGGTGAAGTGGATATTTAAGTGAATAACTTCTGACTGAAATAAAGAAAAAATAATTTGCAGTTTTTTCATTTTGTCATTAGCAATAAGAATTACTATGTTTCATGCACTGAAATGTTAAAGCCTCATAATAATATTTCCCACTTAGAATTATCACTAGATGTGTTTTAAGTTAAAATTCAATTTTATAATGTCTTTTAAATCTTCTTTTGTCTTGCTGCATGTAATGTTCATTTGGAAGCTGAAGATGTTAAGAAGGAATTATTTGTGTGAGGAATTATTTGTATACTGCCTGTTTTTGCTGTCATCATAAAGATTGCTACTAGTTGTGGCCTACAAGTGCAGGACTCTCTTGAGTCCAAGTCCTGTTCCTTAAAGTTAATACCACAAACAGCATCGAAAAGGAGCAGTTGTGAACATTAGAGTGCAAGGGAGCTGGCAGAAGAATGAAAATGCCTAAGCTTGGGCAGAATTCTTCATTTGATTAGTACACAACAAAGGCAAATTTTTGTGGGAAATATGATTTTCTTTTCTCAAGCAAAATGGGGAAGGTAGGAAGCATCTTCTCTCTCCTCTTCCTCCCCTTCCTGCCAAGAAAGAAGCAAACCTAAAAAAAAAGAAACACAGTGCACAACCATACCAAGCTTCCACAAGCACTAAAACAAAAAGCAAACAAACATTTGTTTCTGTTATTGACTGTGATTTTTAACCTGTGTTCGAGCTTTGGAGTTTGACTGATTGCATATAAGAATAACGGTTCATTCTTGATGTCTTTCTGGTAGCTTCCTGAACCTGATAGAAAACAGGACAAAAAAGGAATCATTTTTACTGATATTGAGACTTCTAAGAATGGAGTATGTCAGATTGAATGAATACAATAATGTTTTATTGAGTCTCAAGTCAAGTTAATTGTTAGGGGATGAAAAGTGTGGGAGTACTGGTTTGAAAGCAATCGTGCTGTGTGCACAGAGACAGTACCAGTGAGCAAAACTATTTTCCTTTACTATACTTTTGAAAACTATGGTTTTAGAAAGTCCTGAAGAGATCTGGATGTGAACTTGTATGTAGAGTATTGCTAAATTTGCAGTCAGGCTTGATTAACATTTATGATCAGTGTATTTACAAAGAGTTGTGGTGGGTGTAAGCAGACTTGTCAGAGTTTTTCTCTCACAAAGTTGAGGATATGATAATATCACATGCTCTATACAGTGGTAACAATCACAATCTGTTTGCCAGGCAGACATGCTTTCTGTATAATAAAGTTTCAAATTTTTAAAACAACGTTTTACTCATTTATTTATATGTTTCTGTAATTTAGGTTTAGGTAGCAAAGAGATCTATCTCAAGAATGGCAATTCCTCCAATGTGGCTGAGTTGCTTGAAAGCTTCAAAAAAGATGCAAGAAGTGTTAAACTAAGAGCTGGAAGACATCAGCTTGAAGATGTGACTGATGTACTGAAGAGTTTTCTTTCTCAAATAGATGATGCACTTCTCACTAAAGAACTTTACCCCTTTTGGATTTCTGCACTAGGTAATATGTTCAAAAGCTCTGAATACAATGCAAGTCTTATGCACGTTTTCAGCCTCAAATTTAAGGATTTTGTTTATTGCTTGCCTTATGTGGACATAAACTAGGTATTTTTATAATCAAGAAAATAATTACACAGACACTAGTGGGGAAAATTGTCTAAAGAGATTGACTGCTGTAGATTCATATGTCAGAAATCTACTGCCTTTAAGCAAATCAGAGTAATAAGAAAAAGTAATGATATTTGCTTGACAATATGTGAGTAAAACAATATTTCATTGTGTTTTAGTTCTATCAGGCTAAGTAGGGATGATCAGTTTTTCATGGAATATTGATGGTAGAATTCAAGAAACAGAAAAATATTTACCAGGTTGTCATCTGCATGATAGCTGGGTTACAGCTTTGACATTTATGTTCTGTAAAGGCCTTTATAAAACTTTTCTGACAGGTGCATTAATAATGTAGACTTATTTACAGTTGCTATTTACTTTTTGTTTCCTTAGAAAAGTGAATTTAATGGGAAAGAATTTGACATTACTGCATCAACCCAAAGTATAACTTAAATGTGTTTATAACATGAGGATGTGTGCCTTTCAATGGTTGAGAACAAAATCAAGAGCTAACACATTAATCAGTTACTCATTACTTAAATCATTATGGTTTTTTATAGTATTCCTGCAAATTAGGAATCTTTATGTTTTTGTATTGCACTATGTATATAATGCAAGAAGCAAAAGCTCCTCATAGCTCATAAACTGTGCTGTGGAATGATGGAAGATAGTCCCATGTTTAGGTTGCCAGCCTATATCATGGGAATGGTGTTTTTCTCACTGGTTTCTAATGGGATACCAGGCAGTTCCTCATTCATTATTTTAACTTCTGTGTGTGAACTGGAGGCGTAACACCTTACAGGGGATGAGTTGTGTATGTAGAATAGCAATAGGCAATGCACAGGAAAAATCAACATTTTCACTTTTTTGCATTAGTGATCTGAAATAGTATAAGCCTGTTGACCATATGACTAACTTCTGCTATAGAAAGAATGATTAAAATGACATTTCTCTTTGATTTTGCTTAAATTTAAACATATACATATTGCTTTAATATGAGCCACTATGAGCTTGGGGAATTCGAGTATGAATATTGCACGTTTTTGATCTTTCACCTCAATTTGAAAAAACTGGAGAGAAGAGTATTAAGAATGTATTTACTCATCACAAGATTGCTCTCATCTCATCAGGAATCAGCAAAAGTTGGAGATATAACAGCTCAGATTTAAATTAGCTCTTTTGTGGAAGTACATAATGGTGTCCTGCTGATTTAACATTCTGATTTGTGTGTAGGATTAAAATTTGGCTTCGGCTTTAATCCTGCTCTGTTGTGGATAAGTGACACCAAAGTAGTTGTAGGAAGACCAAAACACTTAGGAAGATAGATGCCCTAGCGAAACAAAATTTACAGAGTTGAAGACTTTGAAGCTGCTGCTGTTGTTGTAAGGTTTTTTTTTTATGCTTATTTATTTTTCCAATTATCCAATTTCCAATGCACAACACAGGGAATTCAGTGACTGAGAGCTCTAGCAATCACCTGAAAGAGCTGAGGATCTTTTCTCTAGCTTTCATTTTAAGAAATTTGAGGCAAATAAAGAAGTTTTTTTTTTCCTTTTTCAGTATTAGGAATTGTGCTTCTGCCCTGCACAGGGTAATGCTCTCCAGTCTTTATGCAATGGTCTCTATGCAACATAGAGAGGCAGGCTTAATTTAAAGAGCTCTGAGAGTGTCTCAGACATTATCCTTCTCAGGGCTGGAATTGCTGTTATTGGCTGCCCCTGCTCAGCTCTATTACGAGCTCTATTTCTCATGCAACTAACACGCCACTCCTTCTCTCTTATTTGGCTCATATTAGTCTTACATGCTTAGAACTTCAAACTACTTTGAGCCTTGATGAGATGAAAACAGCTTGTCATTGTTCAACTCTGGAAATTCTTAGACGTATTTTCACGCATACACATACACACAATGCCGATTAAAAATTGTTTTCCTGATGTAGTCTTAGACTATAGCAAATGATACTTGAATGCAGAATGTGGCTCTTTATTGTTGCTGTTCTTTTCCTGAACTATATATACATATATATATATAGTGTACAATAATAGACTTTGTAGATTGTCTGTATTGTCTTCATAAAGAATGGGTTGATTGGGTAAATTGTAATTTTAAAATGACTAGATGTTGCTGGTGTAGTTAACGAGAATTGCTGTTGGTTTTCATTGTACAGTGTTATTAATGCTCAATGATTATTGTTTTCTGGCAGACACACAGAATGAAAAGGAACGTGTGAGGAAATACGGAGCTTTTATTCGGACACTTCCATCGGTCAATAGAGCAACTTTGGCAGCTTTAATTGAACACCTTTACAGGTCAATGCAAATAAGGCACTGTAGCAGAAAAATGCTTGTAGTCCACTCTTAGTATTACTCTAGCATTAATGAAATGTGGATTGTTCTATCAGCTAGCAAGAATGCAGCTTAAACAATTGCCATGATTAATTATAATAGATTCTAGACAATGCTCCCTTTAATTTATATTGTTTTAATGTTTCAGTTGAATTTTCAGCAGTAGGCATCTATAAACATCCATTGCATGGAGCAATGGGAGAGGGCTGCCAGTGTTTATGTTGAAGTGGGATAATTTTTGAAGAAGCTTCTTTATGTGAGACCATTTACCCCAGTCTGCTGGTATTCTAGAGAACTGTTGCAAGTGATTCCCGAGATTGAAAGAATTTTCAAAATCAATGTCCTTCTCTATGAACTGTGTTGCACCAAATGACTTTGAGAATTAACTATCCTTGCAATATTTCATCACAGCTTCATTTTACAACTGAGGTAGCTATGGAAAATTTCCAAAATACATACTGGGACAAACAAGAAATCTTATTATTAAATCCAAAAAGCAGCAGGAAGTGCAGCTTTGAGGATTCTGCAGGATCGTGTCTAAATAGTAATAGCCATTGGTACTGCCATAGGTAGACGTAGATATATTCGGTGTAAGCGTGCAGGGAAAAAGTTAAGTTACTTTGTTCCTCACAAAGCGGGGAGTAGAGAACAGGCAGAACTTTAAGGCTTACTATGTTTAGGGAAAGCTGTTAAGGAGCAGGTGTCCTTTAAAAACTATTTATGCAAATATTGAAATGATTAGTGCTATTCTTGGGATAATGATTACAGTAAGTATTGCAATTAAAGATGTTTCTAAGCATATCCAGTTGAGATACTTACATGCTCTTATAGCTATTCTGAAAGTAGTTGGTATTCATGTAACAGCCAAAATTCAGTGATATTTTGAAGTATTTGCTTCCCGAAGAAGACATATTACATAAACAATAGAACTAATATGAAAACTTCATGATAAAAATGGAAGCAAAAAAAAAAAAAGATTCTGTTTCTTTCCATTTTTTGTCTGATCTTAGATCACCAGCTTGCAGGGTACTATTATATAATATAACAAATAATTTTTATATTACTTGAGATGCACATTGAAAATATGCATTTTCATTTCTATAATGAGATGGGAGATCAGGTACACATAACAAAAGTAGCATTGTTTGGTCATTTCATTCAATGCAGTTATTCTTTTTGAAACGTACTCCATATTCTGTAGAGAAGCTCTGAACAACTGGAGGAACAATGGAGCTTTCTAAATAGATTTATTTTTCCTTCAACAGGGTGCAGAAATGTTCTGAAATCAATCATATGAACCCTCACAATCTAGCCATGGTGTTTTCCTCATGCTTATTTCAAACTAAAGGCCAGACTAGTGAAGAAGTCAATGTAATTGAAGATCTAATTAAAAATTATGTACAACTTTTTGATGTAGGTATCTTCATATAAAATAGTGTCCTTCCTAATTACTTTGCTGATAGAAATGTTAAAATACTGAAATCTTCTTACAAATAAAAATGATGAAACTTTCCAAACAGGTTTTATTTGGTGTTGGTTAAACTGATTTGCCTAGCTGCTGAATTTTTCTTATTCAATTAACTTTATTCTTTATTTGTCATCTTTAAATGTTAATTCCCAGAGAGTTTAGCCTGAGTAGGAAAAGCTATATTTATAGGATTGTTGAAAATTACCATTTTCCAAAGTGGTGCCCATACGTCCTCTTGCTGGCACTAGCATTCCAGCTGGTAAGGAAACTTCAAGCTGGTGACTACTGTCTTAGTGTCTGATCTCTAGTAACAATTTGAGAAAAAACATTTGATTCCCAGGCCTTAGAAAGTTGAATACAACTAATCTGAGAAGTTACTGTTAGTACGAATTTATGGGAGAACTTTCAATTTGTAGGTTATTGTTCTATGTTAATAAATATCCTGTTTGGGAGTTATGGTAGGTTCCCCTGTCTTTTAATATACATTTGGTAAATTGTATAACGTCCTGTCAATGAAATGATCTGACTGACAGAATATTTGCATAACTGCTGCTACCAAATTTTATAGGAATTCCTCTGTTTTTTTTTTTTTTTTTTTTATATTGGTATTTATATTAGTGTATTTCAGTAGTATGTATGTTAGCTTATTTTATGTTTAGTTTTTATATTGGTTTTCCTATAACTTACAAAGATGATCAATTTTGAACAGATCAATGAAGACCAGGTCAAACAAATGGATATTGAGAACAGTTTCATTACCAGGTGGAAAGACACTCAGGTAAGTGGCAAAAATCAGTATTGAAAAGATATGAAGGTATGAAAAGGTATGGAAAGATTCTAACAAATGGCATTTTGTTATTGGTAGGATTCTATATCTAGTTTTCTAAATGTAAATTTCTGAATTTGTGTAATGACTTGCATTAAGTACAGAGCTGGGAGGAAAAAAAGAAAAGATTAGGTGTAAGCTAATAAAACAAAACAGCTCTGTGTAAATTATACTGTGGAATTATGTTGTGGCCTCTGCACTGGGATAACTTAGATTGATACATCATGCTCACATTTTTTACTACACTTCATAAATTGTAGCAGAAATGATCAACACTAAGCGTGAAAATGATAACCTCTCTTTGATTTTTAAACATGCATATTAAAACCTTGAAGTATACATTAATACTTCTGTTAAGAGTCATGGGCATGTGTGGTAAAACTCAGCAAAGTGATGGCATGAATAGTGATTTTGCAAAGTAGTCTGTGTGCACAGCCCTAATTAAAGCAGAAACTAGTAAGTTCAATAATAACACCAACCTATATGAAGTAAGAGAAGTGAGTGGAAGCATAGGGAGCTTACGAGCTTTCTCAGAGGTCTGAAGTAGTGAAGAAACTTTCAGGAATTGTGGAGCTTAGAGCTTTAGAAACTGGAAAAGAAAAACAGCAAAGACAAAGCTGTGATGCTTTCTCTGGAGGCTCCCTTCCTCCTTTGCAGGAACTGTTTTGTGGTACTTTGTAAGCCATCATTGTAAGAAAGGGTTTTTGCAAATACACATGGAAATTGCATATTTAGGGCATTGCTGTCCTGAGTCGTCTTTCTCATAATCCCTTCTTGTTTGGGTATAGACTGATGGGATGCAATAATAGATTGAATAAATGTAGCAGCAACTGCTGGCTGGGTGAGTTCTTGTAAAATTGAAGCTGTGAAGAAAATAAAGAAGTGGTTTTCTTTTCTACCACAGATAGCTCTGTAAAAATTCCTTGGAGTGGTCTGTCCTATTTGAAACGCTGTATACTTAAGAAAGATATGAGGGACTTTCTTTTCATTTTTAAAACAAGCGTGTGGGCTTTCTGAAATAGATTGTGGGTTTTCTTTATTATTATTATTATTATTATTATTATTATTATTATTATTATTATTATTATTACTGTTACTACTATTATTAAAAAGCTTGCAGCTCCTGACAAACCTAGTCCTATTAATTTTAAACTATATACTCAAATTTGAACCTCCAAGAGAAATTAAGGCTATTTGGCCTTGTTTCCTTGGAACTCTACAACTGGTAGGAGAAGGACTTATACAAAGATTGCACCATGATGTTATCTATCCTGATTTGGCTCTTGGTGGAATCTTTATCGTTAGTAATTACCTTTCTGAATGGTTGGTTACACCTGCTCCATTAATAGGCTCTGACTTGATTCTAATCATACACATTGCTAGAATCCTTGAGGGAGAAAAAAAAAAAAAAAAGTATCACAGAATGAAACAAAAATCCTACTCAAACAAGGCCTCCTACCTCGTAGCTAGAAATGGATGATTTGCAGTGTCTTCTGGTATGAAATTTAGGAGGCAACAATGAAAGAGATTCTTATTTTGTTATACACAACTGTCAAATTAGTTCTCTTCCTGTACATTCTTAAAAAAACCCACATTGCTAGAATTGACAAGCTGTAGTTTCAGAGAGAATACTTGAACAAATAGAATGATAGAAATTTGAAGAACATGGCACTTCGTATTTTGGTTTGAAGGAAATTAAATGGCTAGAAAGAAATGTACTTAGAATTGTATTTAGAATTGTATTAGTCTTACATGTATGCATATAAGATTTTTAATTTATTTGTTGTCCCCTGGAAAAAAAGTCTCCAGTGGAAATGACAAGTGCTAAATATTTAAACATGATATACCACAGTCTCAGTTGGACTACGCTGACTGAGGCTGTTACATATGACCCTGCTGCTAGTCACTAGATCATATTAATTCCTAAGTTTCTTGGTAGTTTTTTGTTGTCTTCATTAAGTGCTGTCTCAGAGACTTTATAATATAAATTATGTTCAATCACAGGAAGGCTTTTAACATAGCCAGTTATATTTACAAGCATTTATAAGGAGGAGGGGGCCAAGCTCTTCTCAGAGGTGGCCAGTGATAGGACAAGGGGCCATGGGTATAAGTTGCAGCGCAGGAAGTTCCATCTGCATGTGAGGAGGAACTTCTCCTCTTTGAGGGTGACAGAGCCCTGGCACAGGCTGCCCAGGGAGGTTGTGGAGTCTCCTTCTCTGGAGGTCTTCAAATCCACCTGGGTGCCGCCCTGTGCCCCGTGCTCTGGGTGTCCCTGCTGGAGCAGGGGCTTGGACTAGCTGATCTTTAGAGGTCCCTTCCAATCTCAACCGTTCTGTGACTCTGTGATTGAGGTGCTGGATTTTATTAATCATCTCTGTCAGTATCAGAAGACATCATAAAATGTTGAGTTTGAGTTACAAAAGGATTTTGAATTGTTATCCAAACAATTCATATGTGTTATTTTGCCTGGAAAAAAGAGTAACCAGAAATCAAGCTAAAGAGCTTCAACTCAGGTGACCCTAGTTGTTTGGAAGTGCTTGCCTCAGAGATGACAGGATTTTATTATTTTTAATTTTCAGAATAAGTAGTGGAACAAAATGTATATGTCTTCATGGTTGATAAATTAAAGTTTGAACTATTTTCTGGAATAGGAATTGCCTTCTCTTTGCTGTGCCAGCCTGTTTTCCTCATTTGGGCTCCATCTCATTGGTATTATTCTCCAGAGCCTGATTGCCATTTGTGGCAATTTGACTGCAACTATGAACATTTTTCCCTTCTGAATTAAGCTGTGGAGCACTTTACGCCTATTGCTGTAGAAGCTGGTTTTTTTCTCTATAGCAAATATGCCTCATATAACTGGGGCAACTGAAATTACATTTTTCTGAAAAGTATTGAAATGTATGTGTAATGTGTAAAATGTATGTGTCTAATGCCTAGCACTAGTTCAATGTAGAAGTGCCTGATTCTGATTACAGATTGTGCAGTTGTTGTCGTTTCAAAGCACCAACTACCTGATGCACACTGAGGAAACTATATCTAGGTGGCTGCAAAGATTATATAACATCTTTGCTGTAGCGTTCAGCATTGTCCTAACAATGCCTTTTGTTGTTGAGTTTTGTGGTATACACAAAAGGGCCAGATTGGGACTAACCACCCCAAAATATTTTTTTTTCCTAAAAGCCTGAACTTCTTTATTCTTGTTATTATGCATTTATAACTTTTGTCCTGAGTACAGAGTGCATATTACTCATAATTTAATAACTCTAGATTATATGCCTGTCTGTATTTTATATTTTCCCAGGCTAGGACGTATAAGCCACTTTTAACCCACTGTTGCTAAATCAGCTTAGTATTTTATGCTTGTCACATCCTCATCAATACGAATGAGGAATTGTCAGACCTCAGCTAATTATCATGATCTTATTTGCTGGTACAGAGCCTGAAATAAGGTTAAAAAAAATGAAATAGAGTAAATGGTTCATTGGAACGATGTTTCTTTATGATAATATCTTTCATTATTTCTGTGAAAAAAAAATGAGTGCATTCATATTCTCAGCTGCTTATTTCCTCCCCTTCATTAGCTATCATCATTGAGCTTGCGAGCAGTTTGCAAGATGCTTTCTCTGCAACCCATGTAGCACAGAGATTGGACATTGGGTTTATGCAGGAGGGCTCGTTTTTGGAAATTTTCTTGGATGGACTTTCAGCTACTCCTAAAACTGATGACATAGTGCAGACCAAATGTTCTTGCAGTGTGGATGACTGACAACTTAGGCCTCAAGCAGCTAATTAAGAATTTTGTCTAAGAATCCTCTTCATTTAACATCTGGTAGTCTGATGTTGTTATATCAAAACCTAAGCATGTCAGTGGGAGAACCAGTGATGCAGATACTTAAAGCATTTAGAATATATAGGTTGCTATCTCCAGGCTGATGATGTGGAGACTGTTCAGTAAACAACTGGACCAGATTTCTACTGAAACCCTGCAAGTTCTCATGTCTGAAATGTCGCTGAAGTTCCGTTCCAGGTGGCCTTTCATTAGCTGCTCTTCATTTTCCGTCCACCATATACTTATGCCAGCTGTTTCTGTTTGCTGCTGTAATTTACAGCACATTTTCTCTCCATACGGCTGTTTAAATGAGCCCAGTGGAAATCAAATGTCAGCTTCATTTTTTTTCAACCTTTTTTCTTCTGTAACACCATCTAAAAAGCAAATTTTACAACTAAATGAGCTTTTTTTTTGAGTCCATGCCACTATAATTAAGAAGCTTTCTTCAAAGTAGCTTTGTAATGTTTTTTTCCTCACAAATGTTTCCATTACTTTTCTATTCTCAGAGGCTAAACAAACTTTAAAGTCACTATTTTCCATAATGTTAATGTTCTTTAAAATTGAGTGCTACTATTTATTTTTTCCATTGAAATGTAGCTTTAGCTTCTGTAAATTAGTCAAAATGTATTTCAAAACTTGCTTGTTTTCATTATTTTCTCCATAGCTTTTTCTGTATATGCTCCAATTGATTTTACTTATCATCTGAGTTTTAGTAATATATAAATAAATATGTAGTACAGAATCAATGTGAATGCTATTCTCAAAATTAAGACTCTAATTATTATGTTTAAAATTAATTTTCATAGCAATTATTTACATTGGCTTACTAGTAAAAAGGTGCATCTACTGAAAGGTCTGGGTCCTGTCTTCTTCATGTACTCTTAATCGTCATCGTCACAAATTAGGTTTTAGGAAATATTTTTGTTACTGACCTGAGTTATTTTCTTTTGAAGATGCTTATGACAACCTCCTACGGGGTTTTATTTTTGTATAAACACTGGACACTTGTTTCTATAGAAAATACAAGTTAATTTCTTACCTTACAGGGTAATTTTATTGTAAATTTGTTATATGTGGATTAATATACATTTTTGTCAGGTCTCCATACTCTTGAATGTATATTTGCACATTGTATTAAGTTTGTTTGAAATGTAGCTGTCATACTTAGTCAGAGTTCAGATTTTTACCTGAATGGGTTAGGATAGGATCTCTCTTTTCACCAGTCAAATGGAAGTAAATGCAGTTCAGCTTTTCCCCTTACCGTAAATGTTGGGAGTATTGTTGTTGATTAGGATATGAGAGAATTTTATGTGCAATAGATTCTAGAACATGTATTAAATAATCATTTCATTTTCCTATTAGACAAAAAATATTTAAGGTATTCATAAGACATTCTAATTTTTGTAAATTATCCTTATGTTCTAGGTCTCCCAGGCTGGAGATTTGCTTATTGAAGTTTACGTGGAAAGAAAAGAGCCAGACTGCAGTATTATAATCAGGGTTAGTGCATAAAAGTGATAAAACGTTTTTAGTAAACACTTCCTCATGAAATGTACTAGACTTATTTTTGTGTATGTTTTTATAATTGCATAATAAAATTTTGAATTTATAAGTTTTACCATATTTTATATTTTTTTTATTTACTGACTTGCCTAGATTTCGAAGAGTGTTTATTATGCATTTCTAAGCAAGAGGCTCTGATATAATTCTAAAGGGGAGATATTCTCCTTTAGTTGTACTGCAGTACACAGTAGCATAAATTCTTACAGGTCTATGGCTGCAACACAGAAGAACATTAACAAGCATGCAGTGAATACTGGCTTTATTCAGTACATTTACTGAATGTACAAGGACATTTAAATGACCTTCCTCTTCTCTCTTTTTGCTAGTGGCAATCTGCCTTGCTTGAAACCTAAGCTGGCTGCTGCACTATAATTGAGATTTCCAGCCTTGCATCTGATAGCATATTTGAAAGGCTCTGGTCTCCATGCAGTAGAGCTCTGTTGTTTAAACATTAAGGAAAAAAATTAAATTTCTGTAATGACAAAGGACAGATATAATTAAAAAGGAAGTAGCAAACGTGGGATAATACTTTTTTATAGCTCTTTATTCAGTGTATGACTACATATATTTTTGTGGATGCATGCTGTACGTTTGTGTATTTACGTGTAAGGATATACATATATACACAGAACACAGCATATGTTTCTTAATATGAATAAAAATGGGACTAAAAACATACGTAAACTTTTTTCCCTATTTTTTTTTACAGATATAGAAAGGATTTTCAAGTGATCATTTTTAGCTGATAACTTGATGAGTTCAATTTTGTGGAACAAAAAAAAATACATGTTGAACTGAGTGATGCTGGAATTACAGTATATTTGCTTTTTATTATTTTAGAATTCTTGCTAATTGTAATATTAGGAATTTATTTTTGTACAAAAGTAAGAGATCAGAAATTGCAATACATTATAAACAGACTCAATTTTTTTCTACAGGTATCTCCTTTGATGGAAGCAGAAGAATTAACTAATGATGTTTTAGGAATCAAAAATATCACTCCTAATAAAGACGATATCTGGGCTGCTTTTGAAGTACTTGAAAATGGAGAACTAGGTTTGTGGAACTCATATCTTTGTAATTTTATCAAATTATAATTACTTTTTTATTTTAAAATATTTAACCTAATGAAAATGTTATCTGAAAAGCTACCAAACCTTTATAACTAAAAGTATGATTAGACTTCATTGCATTGTTTTGTGTTGGATACTATGACATATGCCTACTTCCCTTCAGCGTTTTGTTATCTCAGCAATAAGTTTCAAAGAAGAACCTTAGTTTAATGATGTCAGTAGTTTATTTCTAAGGAATAATGTCTTTCTGAATATGAAACAAGAAAACTCATGCAATGCTTTGAGGACAGATTCTTTTTAATTATTTAGTCAGTTTATTTTAAGTGTGTAAGCAAAAAAAGGGTATAAATTTCTGAAACCTTGTGTGTATTACAGGTGGTATTGAGACGCATATAGCAGGATCTTGAAACATTTGTTTTAAATGTAGTTCTGACACTAAATATGGCTAAGGTCACAATATTCATGAGCTGTAAACAAGTTTTAACATTGGGAAGGCTATATTAATGCTGAAGCTCACACCTTGCAATTAGAGGTAATCAAAATAATTAATAAAGGAATACTTTTTTAAAAATTAAAACTGCATTTTGGCGAATACAGTTATCTAAATCTTTTAAAGAATACTTGGGGACAGCTATTAGTACTTTTAAGTTGGGTTTATTATTATTTACATGTTAGAAAAGTAGACTTTGGATTAACTTCTGCAGTGGAGATCCTAAATATTGTCATGTTTAAAAAGCAATGTTAAACAAAATGGAGAAATGAAATCAGCCAGACATTCCAAGATTGTCTGAGCAGTTCTTTTCTACATCACTTCAGATGTTGTTATAATAATCTCCTAAGGCTTATTGGCATTCCTGATATACTCGGCTTAGGTTGCCATTAATGCTGCCAAGTTTAAGAGCATTCTCCTTTCCGACATAAATGGAATTATCCTCACTTCTTTTTGCAGAATACAATCCTGTGGTGATGTAGAGAGCTAGAGTAGAATCCATTTCCAGATTCACACAGGTGGATTTTGACTGACAAAAAAGACTGGTGTCAGTTATCTTCAGAAGAGCTCATGAAGCTTTTTTTGATAACTCTAGAAATCTTGTTTCTTTTGATTTGAGTAATGGAAAAATTTGAAGGTGGATTTTTTAATTGATACATATCAATAAACTGAAATTTAAACTATATATCACTTAGGAAGGGAAAGCTAGATGAAAAGAATCAGCTTCTTGAGGTCTTTACATGCAGGAACCAGAACCTTACTAGAAAGCAAGAAAGCTAGAAAGTTTATCTGAATTAATGACTACAGAGGATCGGAAAAAATAAGCTTAGAATGAGACTCTACAAACGTCTACTCTACAAACCCTGTATAGTGCAGTAAATATTGCAAGTGGCTTGAGAATATCCCAATAAGAGATATCCCAACAAGAGATAATAAGAGACAGAAACAAGAGATTTACACTGCAAAACAGAAAATGATCTATCAATTTTGAGAGAGAAGAAGAAAAAAGTGAACTAAATCAAGATCTAAGTCTGAATCTAAGTCCAATAGGCAGGGACTATGTTGATGGAACAGACCTGGTTTTGAACCCATTGTGGAAAAAGCTGTTTGTTACAACAGATGAACTGAATTAATAGAAGTTAAAATATGAAAATAATTCAGACAATAAGGCACTTATTCAGGAAGACTCTACTGATGCCAGGGCAAAATTAAACAGATGAGTTTGAAGCATTGAGGAAATAACAGGCAAAATGAAGAATTGTCAAAATTCTGATCAGAAAACCGACCCTCAAGAGTCAAGAACATTATTATATATACAAAAAAAGCTTGATGTTAAAAAATACTGAAATTACAATATTAAAAATCAACTAAATTATTTGCATATAGAAAAGTTGAAATAATTGATAAAATTATCTAACCTAATGCAAAACTTTCAGTACCATATGCTTCTGTAAAATAGGGTGTATACTTTTTTTCTTAGTAATTTGTGCTTCATGGATAGTTTGTAAATGAGGTGTGTTACCAGTAAAATAACTAATTCATTTCAGCATGATGATTTATGTACCATGTAATCGATGATGACAGATGGTCTTAAATGTAACTATAAATAAAACAGTAGGTGTTTACTCTGGGAGTGTTGATGTTCTAGGAAGATGTGATGATCTGCCAGCTTTTCCTGCCTTTCTTTTGTATGTTTTTTTTTCTCCTTAAAGTGGATTTTTCTCCTGTACAAAGACAACAAGTTATTTTAACTTTATCACATTTAAAAGTTCATAGTCCTTAAACTTTTCAACTTTTGGAAAAGTTGAACCATTTAAATTGAAAGGGCAAGGAAATTTGAGTTATTAGGTAGCAATGAGCTGCCTCAGAGGAATTTGTTAGGCTGCTTTGTTATCATGTCTAAATAATAAAATTTTTATGTAAGTGATTTAACGCCTCTATAGGTAAGGTACATTTTCAGTCTCTGAAAACAGAGGTATTTTTTTCTGCCACTCAACAGTGTGCTATAAATGAGGAAGGTAAAAGAGTTGTTGTGGTAGCTTCTTCCTGGAGCTGTGGCATTCAGGAAAAAAACATTGTTCTAGAGTGTAATTCTAGCAGTCACAATGCTGGTACTCTCATATTGGTACCAGCAATGAATGGTTTGTCATATTCATGTACCCTAGCAGAAGTGAAAAAACAGAGTCTAATATCCTACGAAAGCCTTCCAGTGTGTATGTGGAAGAACAAGCAGACAGACAGAGGTGTTGTACAGTTTCCCTCCACACTACTCAGTATTGCCTAAGATTATACATGTTGTCTGGGATGGGTGTCACAGTGTATGTCATATTTAGATATCTGCTAGGTCTGATAATACAGATTTAGGGACCATTTGCTAGGTATTCTCAGCATGCTTCTGGTGTGTGAATGATCTACTATTTTGGCTTTATTATCTCTGCAGTTATTCAAACTTTTGAAAGGGTTTCAGGGTCTCTGTGTTATCAGATTGGATGATTGATTTATCTATTGACAAAAGTATGATTTGGTAACAAAATCTGAAGTGCATACACACTGTAGTCATGTCTTCACTTAATTCTAATTTTGCTCTACTCTTTGCTTGAGTTTGAAAGAGTGACATGCAAACCTGGAAATTCCCCAACCGCAGCAATATGGAGGAGACTGAGACCTAGTAAAATCACATCCTTTCCCCAGTTGGTGAAAGGAACCAAATGAAACTAAAGTCTGGCTCAGTCTATTTTGATCAAGAACAGGCAATGTAATCTGTATCAGTGTTTATGGCTACTAAGGTTCTTCTAAATTCTTTATATGGTTTTGATTTGAGAGCAGTTGTTTGAGGTCTGGTGTAGCTGAAGGTCTCACTTGTAACACTGTTTGATCATACTTGCATATGCACTCTGATACTTCCTAGCTTTTATTATTAGTGTGAAAGCAGTGTTTTAGTATATTTCGTGAAGGAAATACTAATAATAAAATCCAAAGACTTACTGAGCGTATAACTATTTCCTGTTCAATCTGTGTTACCTGGAAGGAAAATCTATTTAAACCCTACCAATAAAAGTGTTACTGTAGAAAGGTAGGGAAATGTCTATTTGTATTACTTTGAAAGCAACTTTTACTTCTATTGGTCAAAATTTATCTATAGAAATGTGTAACTTAAAGAGTCTCTGATCTTGTTTCTCTCATTTCAACTTCATTTTTCTTCCTTTTTTTTTTTTTTTTCCCTGGACTTTTTTTTCAGAACGTCCTCTGCATTATACGGAGAATGTGCTAGAGCAGGTTCTTCATTGGAGTTCACTACCGGAGCCTGGGACTGCCTATCTAATAATAAAGAGATTCCTCACAGCAGACATGATAAAACTCTATAGTGGTATGCACCTTTTTTTTAAATAAATATTTCATGGGGACAAGCATGACTATTTTTATTTACAACTGTTTCGTTGGGGCAAAGTGTCCCAAAACATCTGATTTACCACAACTTTTGAAAAGTTACTGTTTTACTGAGGGTTGTACTGACATCTGCTTAAAGCATTGAAATTAGATACGTTTATATTTCTACAAACTGTACAGATCTGCCATTTGAACAAAAAGATATACAGAAACCTTGTGTTTGGCTCACAGTTTGTGAACTTCTGCTGTGAAGCATGAGACTGCTGTTTCGTTACTGCAATTCTGAGCAGCCCATAACCTGTTTTGCTAGATGAAAACTGGCATTGCCAGTAGTTTTTTGCAAGGGACAGACATCATTTAACTCGGGAAAGAAAAATTGACTTTTTAGTTTGGGGTATTTATTATTTATCTCTTCATGTGGGTATGGATTATGTAATCTCATTTCTCCAAATGGGAAAGAATTTGGAATGAGCAACTTGAGTGACTTTCAGCAAGTACATCACCTTTAAGTAAGAAGAGAAATTTAGGTCTGACATCTGAAAATGGGAATATATGATTTACAAGATGACCCATCCTTTCTTTTTATTTCCTTTCCTCTCTCACGCTTTCCTTTCCTCTCACCCTCCCTCCCTTGAGGTAGATCTCCCAAGTAATCGCCTTTTTCACTCTGAGGGAAGCAGATTGTAAGTTAGAGATGTTAGAAAATGATTACCCTATTTTCAAGCTGCTGACATTCTGTGTGCTGCCTTTACTGTACAACATGCAATAATAACATTTGATGCCTGGTTTAATGCCTAACTGATTATTTTATCTAATGACTTACTCAAATATATAATCTTTTTCTTTTCCTCTAGGTTTTTCTTCCATGCACAGAAAGGTTTAGTTCCCTATATTTCTCTGACTTGATTACAAGACATAAAAGTTATGCTGTTATGCTTGTTCTCCTTAAAGTAATAGTCTTCTCTCATCACTCTTTATTTCTGTAAAACCAAATTCTGCAGATATGATACGACCTTAACAGCTGTGACTCATAGTTTTTTGTGACAGAGTTCCACTGTCTCTTGTAAGTGTGTTGTAGCAAGGGAAATGTTGTAGAGGGAGATGGCCTAGTTCATTAAAAGCTTGAAATCTGAACTGCACTCACCTCCCTCACACTGCACTGAGATGTAGTCAGGAAAGTGATTGGACTATAAGGACTACATGTGAACTACTGCTCTGGAAACGAAAGAGAAGTAGGCAAGTGTCTAAAGTTCAACTTATAATATGTAATAGTATTTAAGAAGGAGATTTGACATTTTGTCATCTCTCCATTCATGGGTTTCACATACATTTGTTCTCCCGCCTGCCCTCTCCATCACAGTAATGAGGGATTCTGGATGCTCTGGTTTAACCTTTGTCTGTTGGGTTTTGATGACTGAATATTTGTATTCAGTGGCTCTTTTGTGTTGTTAAAATAATTAAAACCTTATGAAGCATATTATAAAAATTAGTCATACTGATTTTCTTAGTGGATTGAAGGATTTTAAAAACATTCTGCCACTTTGCAAACATACACTAATGATCCTGCCAATCCTAGCATGACAAAGCAGTTTTTTAATCGCAGAACATGAGCTCACATGTGGGGTTGAACACATTTTAAGGAGCTTTTACTTGATGAATAAATTATATTTTCTAAAGTTTTAGGGCTCCTACCTTTTAATTCTATCTTACAACAAGCAAGAACTTGTAAATACTCTTTAGGAGAGTATATTTAGAGATTTTAGTTAACTATTCTCTTTACTTTGGTTCAAAATGGCCATCAGTCCTATCAGGATCGCTCCATACATTGTACTGATATGCATTCAAATAATAGCTAAATAGGAAATGAGGAAAATAAATGTAATATCATTTAGCCAACTCATTATTTGCTGAAGTACCATCTTAGTAAGTATTTCTAAGCATATTTGATCCCAAACAGGAAAAATATTAAGAAAATGGAGGGTGGTAGGGAGAGAGGCAAAGTTATCTACCTTTTTTTCCTGTTTTAAAATATATAGTAAAAAAAAAAAACAACTAATGTAAATTCTAATTGGACCTTATTATACCAAAGATGTTTAAAATAACAAATATTGCAGTCATTTTGTCTTGCCTGTGCAAGAATTTGTACATTTTGAATCTACTTATACTGCCATGAAACTTTAGGAATATTAAGGAACTAAAATAAATGCTCATTAGCTTCAAGCAGGGATGTATCTATTTTAAGTGTAGGTCAAAATGTGCAAAGATCTTGTATTATTTAGCCAAATTTTACATTTGTTTGTTCTTAAAGATTTGTTCTTATCTTTATTAATATAGTTAAACATTGTACCGCTATCATTAGGTGTAGTGTCAGAGTGAGGAAAGATGACTGCTCCGATAAACAGGGCAACAGTGTTCCCCCTGACTAGAGGAAGAGGCAATAGTAGCTACAAAAAAATCAATTTTCCTTGTCAAAGGAAAAAAAATTCTTTTTAGTGATTTAGCTTCAAAAAAAAAAAAAAATCTGGTCAGTTTTCCACTTTCTTGCTAGTCTTTGGTTATTCTCTCTTCACAATTTATTCTATAACTCTTCATGTTTCTGTAGGAGTATTGTCTTTCAAGTGCTATTCAGATGGACAAGTTGTGCATTCTGTTTTGGTATAACAGAATAACAGATACTTGGTAGATTATATTTCAAGACCCTCTTTCTTCTCCTTTTGTGAAAATTTCCCATATTAAAGATTCATCAGTTAAAAAATATAAGAGACTATATTCACTGTAAAATGTGTATAGAGATACTTGATTTTTTCCAGTGAAGAGTTTTTTAATTCGAGTGGCAAATACTTTTTTTTCTCAGAAATATCAATATTTTCTGAGCTAGTTCCTAGTGATTTCAGCGTTTTCTGGAAAGTTTTTAAATAGTTTGTAAAGTTTGTATCTGAAAAATGAGTGTGAATAGGATATTCTCAGATTATTTTAGATTTACTTAAATACCGTCTGCTAGAAAATACAGAAAATCATCAAATATAGAGGGTGTTTATTTTTCCTCACTTTTCTAAGATCTCTGTACGAAGTGTTTGATAAATTTGTCATGGTAAGAATGCTGCAGAGTTGAGAATGATTTTTTTTTTTCCTCCTCTCATTTGACTTGTTTAAAAAAAAAATAAAATTCATGTAATATTCATGTGATAGTGTGGGTAAGGTTTTGTACTCTATTCTGAATATAAAAGAAATATATCAGCAGAAAGGGACTATTTTATTTATTTATTTATTTATTTATTTATTTATTTGTAACTGAACAGATATATTGCAATCCTAGCAGCATTCAAATCAATCCAGTACAAACTTTTGATTTCATTTATTATAAATGTATTGATTTTGTTTTTAAATTCTATCTGGAACTCTCTAAAATGCAGGAAATTCTTAGGATTTTCTTTTAGTGGAAGGTGTACTGTTTCCAATAGAGTTGATTCTATTTGATGAAGTCAAAAGAATGTACTGTCTTTGTAATTTCTATTATATTATTAAAATCTCTTTTATAACTTCAGTTTGTTCTATGATAAAAAAAAAAGCAGGAGGGAATTATAATCACAATATTTAATTATCTTCTTTTTGCAAATAATTACAATCAGTAGGAGGAATAATTTAATTTAATGTTCCTCCACTGTGAAAGATGGGATTGAGATATGTCTTTTCAAGTTAGTCCCAAAGTCTCACTACACCATACAAATGACAGCAAAATCTGCTTCTCTGTGTTTTAAAATGTAACCTAATTGGTTTTGTGTGTTCACTTTAAAAGTGTATTAATTAGCATAATGAGACAATTTGAAGTGAAATACTACTTACCTACCGTTTGTACATGCACACGTATGCATTTTATGCATCTTGTACATGTGTCACTCACATGTAGGAAGGTTGGGACTCTCCCTAAAGAATCATATATGGTGTAACTGTTTATAGGTTCCCTAAAAGAAAGGCAAAGGACGTAAATGTTGAAATTAATCTAGATGCAAACACTATTGTACAATACATTTATTCTGGATCATTTATTTTGCAGTCATTAGTGATAATCCATACAAATTCTTAACTCTGTCATGTCAAAGGTGACAACTTTTAATACCTAATTTCTGCATGATATGCTATATTTGAAGATATTGACTTATTAATATTTGTGAATATTTTGAATATTTGTGATTAAAAAAATAGTTTTAATTACTATATGTAGCAGAACCTACTGGTTCCAAATGTGACTGTTGCATTGAAATTCAAAGTTGGTTCTTTTCTGCATTCCTGCCTTTCCTGGGTGAATGCAAATATATTTTATCTTCTTTTTTTGCTGTTAATTTATTTAAAACATTTTTTAATTTTTTTTTGCTTGATAATAGAGTGTTGTATCAAATTCTCAAATGCTAAGTGGAATATTACAAAAAGAGGACCCTTTGATAACTGAGTAAGGATGCTGTTCTCTGTTTATTGCATTGTCTTTTAGCACCACACTCTCATTTCTTTCTTTGAAGTAATACAGTTTTAAAATTAGTGCTGTCATTCTACAGCTCCTAAACAAATTTATTTGGTATTCCTTAATACACAAACAAATTGCAGGAAATATTTTCATTTAGTAAAAGAAACAAATGTGGCCCAAGCCAAAACATGTCACAGGTAGTAGACTCAGTCTTTTGGAAAAAAAGATATTAGCCCTATTAGTGCAACTACTTCTTTGGGAAGAAAAGATCACAGAATGGTTGAGGTTGGAAGGGGCCTTCAAGATCATCTAGTCCAATCTCCCTGCTCAAGCAAAGTCAGCAGGATGCTTGGGACCCCATCCAGTCAGATTTTGAAGATCTCCAAGTGTGGTGTCTCTACAGCTTCTCTGGGCATCTTTTTCCAGTGCTGAACCACCCTGAACCATCCTGTCCTTATCACTGGGTACCATTGAAAAGTGCTTGCCCCGTGTTCTCTGTCCCCTCCCATCCAATATTTATATACATTGAAAAAGTGCTCCTCTGTCAGTCTTCTCTTTTGCAGGCTGAACAGACTTTCTTCATATGAGAGTTGCTCATCATTTTAGCGGCCCTTTCCTGGACTTTATTCAGTAGTTCCTTGTCTCTCTCGTACTGGGGAGCCCAGAACTGGATGCAGGGCTCCAGATGTGACCTCAGCAGGCCGGAGCAGAGCAAGGGGAACACCTCCCTTGACCTGCTGGCAATGCTCTTCCTAATGCAGCCCAGGATACTGTTAGTCATCTTTGCCACAAGATACATTGCTGCCTTGTGGTCAGCTTGTCCACCAGGACCCACAGGTCCTTCTCCATGGAGCTGCTTTCCAGCAGATCATTCCCCGGTCTGTATTGGTAATGCTGCCTGGAATAGAGAACATTTTATTTCCTTCTGTCTACTGCTCTCCTTTCACATTGTCAGTCTACTTTAAGTGCTAACTACCTCAAGGAGAAAAGACTACTTAAGGTTGCTGCTATGTTCTTTCATTAAGGCTCCTACAAGATGCAAATAGGAGTTATTTTTCTTTTTCATTGCTCCTTACTTTGTAAAAATGTTATTTTGATTTGAATTTATACACATGAGTCATTTCAGCATAGTAATTACTGCAATTAGTGGTCAAAAGTGCTGCTATTTGGAAGTGGACTTTCTGGGCAAAGCAGATAAACTGGTTTTTTATTTTATTAAAAAAAGTGAGGAAAAGAAACATCTATGAAATGGTGCTGCAGTAGTTTTCATCTAGCAACCATCTACAATTCAGAAAAGACCCAATCTTTCTCTTTAAACAATATGTTTTAGTGCTTTCTTTCTATTATTTTGCTTAGGCTTTTAAATTGCTGTCAACATTATACTGAAAATTTTATCTGTCTTTGAAAAATTCAGTGTTTCTAATTTGTTTCATTAAACTTTAATTACCGAATCAATTTTAATTCTTTCTAATGCTGCTTGCAAAATACTACTTTAACAGTGTTTTTGTTTTATTATTTTGACAAATGTTGCTGTATGTATTTTGCCTTGTTTAAATAGAAAAAGTACAAATTTTCAGTGTTACCTGTTTTAGAAACAGGATAATTTTTTTCCAATAATTAGCATCATCGTGCTGTCAATGTTTAATAACTTATTAAGAAAATTTGAAACTATCAAGTTGCAATTTTACTCTTTTGATATACAGTGATAAATGCTAGGGGCAACTGCAAACTAGCAATTTCCACTGTTCCAAAATTTTCCAACAGAATGTTTTTGTTATCTTGTTAGAGAAAAACATGAAAGGTAGTATGAAAGCAGGCTATCTGAAGTACAAAGAAGAACCGTCAAAGCTTCTGTCTGGAAATAAGTTTCAAGAGCGGTATTTTGTGCTACGGGAAGGAAACTTGCTTCTTTACAAGGATATGAAGGTACAATAGCAGAAAATTCAATTCACGAATTTAATGATAAACAGCAAAATGGTCTTTTACATATAGAAGTAAGAGTAAAGGTAAATATTGTTAAATGGTAATCCTCAAAGTTTGGAGTGAAAGTGCAATTTTTTTATGTTACGAGTTCGCAGAGGTCTTAGTAAAATGAATTATGGATGTTGCTTATTTAGGTAGTTTAATTTTGCATAGTATGAGCTGTTAAAAAAAAAAATTAAACCAAAGTTCAGAAATGACTATCGACTGTGCTGTGACTAAGTTTTATGAAAGCTCTTTGTACTGAGCTGTAGTACAAGCAATATGGAACTTAAGTGCCCTGCATATTGGCTTGTCTTCAGATCTCAGAGCCTTTAGAAATTACAATCAACAGTGGTCTTTTACTTAAAAATGTCATGATGTAAGAGGTTATGGAAAACAGTATCTCTCAATATGCTAGCAAAATCTTCACTTGCCTCCCAGGTACAAAGTTTTCACTAACCTCTCAGTAATGAGGAAGAAATATAACCTTCTCCTGAAGTAAAACATCAGGAAGAAAAGGAGACTTGATAGAATCCCAGCCTTGCAGACATGAGTACTGATGCTTAGCTATACATCACAGTCCCTGAGAAACAAAGTCAGGAGTATGGATAGCATGTTGAATTGAATTTCCTGAGAAAAATGTTTTCAGATATAATCAGTTTATGTTAAAGTGTAAAACTAAACAAGAGATATTGTGAACTATACCGTTCAGTTGTTCATTTTAGTTCTGTTAATTTCTGTTAAAGTTTCAAGTGTTTTTATTTTTGCTGGGTGCTGTTTTTTCTCATCCAGTCAATATATGTACATGTGCTTGATGACCTTGCGAAAATAATTAATAGAATCATAGAATCCTTAAGATTAGAAGGGACCTTTAGAGATCATCTAGTCCAAGCCCTGCACATGCAGGATTGCCTAGAGCATGTGGCACGGGGTTGTTTCCCAGCAAGTTTTAAAGTTCTCCAGTGAAGGAGACACCACAGCCTCTCTTGGCAATCTGTTCCAGTGCTCTGTCACCCTCACAGTTGAAAATTTTTTTGTTAAATTGCTGTGAAGTTTTTGGTGCTTCAGTTTGTGGCCATTTCCTCTAGTTCTGTCAGTTGGGAGGTTTTTGTTTGTTGGTTGTTTTTTGGGTGGTTGACAAAGCTTAAAGATTAATTGGTGATATAACCTAATGCAAAAGAAATATTATGTTTTCTTGTAAGACTTCTACTTTTTAAGTAGAATGATCCTATAATATCAAAAATAGTGTCACGTAATTTAGTGCTAAAACTCAAATTATCACATACGCAAGACTAAATTATATTTTCATAAAACCTTTATTAGGATCTAGGAAAGAGTTTGTGATGAGGTTATTCTACTGAGTTAAAACTGCTTTTTCAGCCATTCTGATTCATAAAGTGTTAAATGATTTCTAAATTCAGGTGGAGTTTTCTACTTAGTGTAAATACTCCATTATTTTTAAATGGCTTTCAACATTTTTTAAAATGAAAATATAATTCTGACAAAATACCATTTTTCAGTTTTTCTATTTTCTGCTCATCTACCACCAGTATATTTTGTTCTATTTTAAGTTATATATAGAAACGAGTAGTAAAAGGGTGTGACATTGCAGAAGGCAAATTCAGTTTTATAAGATTGCATGTATTTGTCAATTTATGAATTCTCTCAAGAGTAAATTCTTTGTATATACAAAAGGAGATAAATTGTTTTCCTCGAAGAATTATCAAAGACAAGAGATTTCCATGACATTGTGTATTTAATGCACAATAATATCCATATTAATATATTAGATATATAATTCTTATCACTATTAATAAGTAATAGTAATGCATTATTGATTATTAATTATTTAATTTATTAAATTACAGTATTGTGTTAATTGGCTGAAAAAGCTTACCATTGTAATGCCCAGTCAGTAAAAGATATGCTCACACATGCACAAACACAACACATGACAAAGTTCCTTTAGGTACAGTTTTTGAGAATTACACTTAGTAGTATATTCTGTAGAGAAGTCTCAGTGAGACTTAGTGAGGCAGTGCTCTTGCTTTGAATCTGAAGACTAACAGACCAGACATAAAACCTCTTTTTTCCTCTCTCTCTCTTTTTTTTTTTCTTCCCATTATAACAGCACTTCTGATCCTGGGCAGAATATTTTTTTCCTTTTTCTTTCTTCCTCCCAATATTTGAGTGTTACAGATTAAAACATGCAGAGACAGAAATTGAAAATACAGGTCAGCAAACATTCTAGAGCATTACAGATCTTCCGGGCATGAAGACTGATGTAAAGGTGATCCCAAGTACCTCAACATCACCTGTGTCTGCTGTTGCTCATCTACCTGCTTCGCTGAGCAGCGGACCTTCATTTTCCTTGTTCAGCCTCTCACTTTAGTACAGTAAAAGCAGCTCTTCATATTGACCTTGACACACCTGATGGATCTCAGCTTCAGCTCAACTTTCCTTTCCTAACACTGTGTCTACATGTCCAGACAGTGTTTTTAAATTGCATGCCTATACGTCTTATATGCTATGTGTTGGGGTTTTTTTGTTTGCTTATTTTTTGTTTGTTTTTGGTTTTGCTTTGGAGCGCTGCTGTGATTTCCTTCCTTAGCTAGGTTTCCTGATATGTCTACGTGTTTCTCTGAGTATCATGAAGAAAAAATCTTGCTGTCTTTAAAGATCTACCAACTTTACTGAGCTTGCTTGCCCTACAGACCTGCCTTCTCCAATGGGATCATATGTAGCAGTTCCCTGAACAAGCACAAATCTGTTCTCCCAAAGTCCTCAGTCTGTCCTCTACTACTTGCATTTTAATGGTCACAGTGACCATAGCTTCCACTGATAATCACATCCCCAACCAGATCTTCTTTCTTGCTTGTGTATATCAGACCAATTTTGCAGGGCCCCTGTCTAGCTCGTCCACTGTGTGTGTCAAGAAGTTGCCCTGACACCCTCTGTAAATCTGCAGAATTGCTAGCGTCTCACCAGGATGCCTTTCCAAAAGGTCAGGGAAAGCAAAGCCTCTTGCAGGCTCTGCAGTTCACAGACTTGCAGGCTCTGCAATTCAGAGACTTTCTAGAGTTGTTCAGAAAAGACCTCGTTTGTTTCTTCATCCTGATTGGGTCTGAAACAAATACCCACCACAGTGTTGTCCATCTCATAGAAATTCACCCCATGTATGGTCTGCTCACCTCTGCCATCCTTCATATGGAGTGTGCCTCCCTATCCTCCCTGACTGCCTCTCCCTGAAGAGCCTGTATTACAATTACAAAACTCCAGTCACATGAGCTTGGCCACCACATCTCACCTATTCTGACTATATTGTAACTTTTTGACTTTACAGGGACTTCACATTCTTTCCTTTTCCCAGTGGAAGTGACTGGCGCCCTTTGTTAATGGGAAGGAAAAATGTAAAAAATGTAACAGTTGGCAAGAAAAGTGGGGTGCGGCTTATAAAATGAAGTAAACTGTGGAGACAGCTGGAGAGCATTTCCTCTTTTGTATAGTTGTGATAAAGTAACTAGAGTCTTATTTTATTTTCAGGCCAGCAAACCTGAGAAAGTGTTGCCTGTCCCTTCCTTGAAGCTTTATCTTGGAGTGAAAAAGAAAATGAAGCCACCAACAAAGTAAGAATAGAAAAAAAAAAAAAAAGTTAAATGTAAGCTTGCTACTGTCTCCATGAAAGAGCAGCATAAAATATTGTTGAACAAGGAAAAGCCAAGAAGCCAATTGAAGTGTACCAAATTAATTTACCCTCCATAACATTATCTGTTCTGTTGCTATCTCTAGTTTTGTGTTCCATGTTAACTCTTCTGTGCTAGGAAATTACTTTATTGATTGGCTTTTCTTAATCTTAAGTGTATTATCTCTTTTGGATGTGTTTGTTGCTAGCTCACTTAGTTTTGTGGTATGTGTCTTGCATTTCATTGATGGGAACACCTTCCTGGCACCAGTGAAAAAAGAGGAAGAAAAGCCAACTAGTTTGTCTATGATGACAGTCCCTGTTGTTCAGTAGAGGATTTTCCTTTTTCAGGATCCTTTTCATTTTGACTTGTTTTTTCCTTCTGAACAAAAACTACAGTGTCCTTTATGAACACCAGTGACTGTGCCTCTGGAAGAGTGAGAAATTACACCTCTTTCTCAGTTGTGTTTCCCAGATTGCCAATCAAATCTTTGAGACATTGAGATAATTTAGATAGGATCCTGCCCGAGGGGGATTCCAAGTTGATTATAGCCTTTGAGCAGATATGTTGGTACTTTTTCCTGAGAGTTAGCACATCAAAACCCTCAAAATATCTATAAATTTCAGAGGTTAATTCTGTTAGACGAAACAGGGTGCCTTTTTGGTTTTGAGAAAGTATGTTAAACTCGAGAATAAGTAGGTGAGTAGTTTGAAGTACAAATGTAAGAGTATGTAAGCAGGTACTATCTTTGCAGATAGTTTCATTCCTTGAGGTTTGCTTTCAGTGCAACTATTTTCAACATCAGACTTGACACAATCTTCTCTGTGTCAAGGAGCTGTCAATTTGTCACCTCAGAGGATTCTTTGTGAACCTGTTCTGTTCTCAGCTTTTTATTTTATTTATTTAATCTCTGTAGATTTATGTGGTTCCTTCTTTTTCCAGCAAAAGCACTCTTAAGGTTCCTTCTGTGCCTTCCCCATCATAAATCTTTATATAAATGTTTTTTTTTCTGGACACCAACTTAGCAATTTTACTCCCAACATCTTCCAGAAAGTAAAGCCACAGCTGAAACAGCACACGGAGTCCCAGAGTCATTTGCAATGCTCAGCTTTAGCCCTTGTCCAGAGCAGACCATTCATGAACTGAGTCATGTATGAACAAACAGTTTTGTTTTTCAGTAATCTCCTAGGTTTACACCTTTAACTATATATATATATATATATATATATATATATATGTACACACACACACTGCATATATATAAAAAGCATTGTGTGGAAGTCTCTTCAGTTTTAGGAAAATACTGGTTTTAGGAAAATATTGCCTCTGTCTTGAGTTTATGGAACTATTGAACCTTTTTTTTTTTTTTTTTTTTTTTTTTTTTTTTTTTCAGCTGGGGTCTTGCAATATTTTCTGAAAAGCACCAGTGGTAGGTAAACGTGAAGCATGCATAATTTTCCTGTTCAATGTGTATTTAAACTTTAAATTTCAGCATTTAAGAAGATAAGGTTTGAAAATCAATGTTTTTTATTTTGTCTGCATGTTTGCTTTTTTTGTTTTTCTTAATTATAGACTACATGTTTTGATAATCTTTTGGTGTCTGTCCTCTTACTGTGGCTAAAAATAGCAAATAATCTTAAAATCTGTAGTTCTGAAGTTTATGAAAGCTGTATACGTGCTTTGAGTTAAGCATTTGACTGCCTTTTTGAAGCAGAGTAAAATGGTAATTGTGTATTTCACAGTCTTTTTATGTAAGCTAATGTTAATAATAAATTCTGACAACATTCACAGATGAATGTAAGCAGTATTTGAACTCATTTAGAAACTTAGTCTGTAATGTGTCTAGCTGCAACTAGATTTTTTTTCCATTTTTTTTCTTGCTAATTATATATTGTATTCTAGGCATATCTGTTTTGATGGACAGGATGCACAGATGGAGTGGCTCATCAGTATTTTTACTGCACAGGTACTAACTGGTCAAATATAAGAAATATAACTTTTCCTGCTGCAATGAAAATCCTCTTAGGCAATCATATATATGTATGTGTTATAATTGCACTATGGATAAAAGTGCAATATTATTAAGGCTTTTGGAATGTAGTTTTTTTGATGTAATCAAACTACAAAAAGATGGTCTTAGCCTATGAAGGCTGTTGTTCATAATGGTGTTCATATATGTGTATATGGGAGGAGAAGATTGCAGCCTAGGATCTTCTTTATGCTGCATTGGGCTGAAGCTAGATAAAGTAAAACTCACTTCCTTAGCACATCCTTTGGGTGAAATTCTGGCCATTGACCCAAAGAGTGTCTGTGTGCCACAGTGCCTTGAGAGCTCCTTGTCTGTTAATGAATTTGGCTACTGTGTGCCAAATGGCCATGATAGCAGGGGCTCTCTTTAAGCACATTGCCGAGTGGACCAGCTCTGCAGGGCGTACTGTAGATTTTCCTGGTGAGTTTAGGTAACACTGGCAAGTCATTGCATTGGACAGATACTCCCTCAAGTTACGTAATTCTCTGCTTGCTACTAAATTTTGAATAAGTTGGATGTAAATTTGAGTGCCACATCCTTGCAAGAAGGCTTAATGTTCGCATGGTAGAATGCAGGAGTGAGAGAGGTGGGAAGTCCGGCAGGAGCCTGGAACGGAATTAAGTTTTTAAAAGGATTCTGTGTTTGTGTCAGATTTTTCTTGTCTTTCCCGTAACGTTCAAGGAGCTTTAGGGAATATCGCTGTGAATACACATCAGTAGATTTATGATTACCTGTGAGCTTTGCATATTACATAAAGTGGACTAGACACAGGACTCCTACCTTACATACCTAAGAGAGGCTTGCTAGCAGGGAACCTGTCTTTCTGACCCCTGTCAATAGCAGTACTAGGGGTGCAGTGTTTGCCTTGTAAGTGACACTTCCAAAGTTTTGTCTTACGCCGCTCCCTTAACTGATGGAGCTATTGTGGTTTCCATGGAAACAGCCACCAGTCCTGGCATACATCTCATGGGCATAACATGAGCGGTGTCACAACAAATTGGCTCCGAGGTTATTGATATAGGCTGCTCGGAAATAACTCATACAGCCTTAGTAACTCCTTTGAAATCCTTTTGACGTAAAATCACAAGAAAGGCAATTTATTAGGATTCTGATCAAGTCGTTCAGTATGTAGAATGTTCCTCTGATAATATAGATCAAAACCTGAGAGATGCTGCTCACTGTTCAGGAGATTTTTATAACAACAAAAAAATCTTTTAATGCATGTTGGTTTTTTAACTTTCAATGACTTAATACTATTTTCTTTGAAAACTTCATTCTCATGAGGCCAATGAATCAACAGTACTAACAAACTGTGTCGAGAGGATGGCTTTTTTGGATATCAGTATTCTGGACATCAGTGGAAGTTGTCAGTCTGTGGATTACTTGGGAGATTAAGTGCTAATGAAGCAAAATCAGTATATTGCCCTAAGACAATATTATTTGCAAGGAAAGTCTGTCCTTGAGAGTGCAATGACTCATGGTGTAAAAGCTTACTTTAAGATTTCCAAATATTTTGCATCACACGGTAGTAGCAAGCAATTATCATCGAATTATCCCCTTTCTAAACCAGAAAAAAATAAATGTCAGCTAAGGTTGTTTCTTGTTAAAATTTTAGAAGTAAAGTTATCTGTAGGGAAGATAGCTTGTCTTCTACCTTATTCATTATCCCAGTATTTGAAAACTTTTGTGTTAGAGAAGCTGCAGGCAACAGATTTTCTTTGTATTGATGGAGTTACTGGACTTAGATTGCCAAGAGAAAAATACTAAAAAAAATAAGTTTTGAAGTATTAAGACATTTACATTAAATGATCCAACTGAATTCAGAGGAGAAGAAATCTATGTTACTGTGCTCTAGCAGAGGAAGATTTTATTAGTAAGTAGTGTCAGTAAGGTACTGTTTATTTATTTATTTATTTTGTTTTCTGATAATGTTTACTCCCATAGTTTAAGTTCTGCAGAGAGCATTAATAGCTTAGGTCCTATTGTAATCTAACACCTTTGTTACAGAAAATCAAGCCCTGAAGGTTATTAATCTTGTATTTTAAATACTAAGATCATTCTGAGAAGATCCATTGTTTTTTCCATTTTTATGCAAAATTGTTCCATAAAGTACAGCTAAAACCTGATTCTTGGATTCTGTAATGCAGCTCTGCACAAAATCACTTAATAGCATACAACTGAAAGTAATTAATTGATATGAAGATGGACACAATCGTATATGAGCTCTTCCAATATGCTGTGCCAGCTAGAGAGAGGCACAGCATATTACTATGAGGTGCAGTTGTGCAGATAGGTCAAAACTATGAATAAATACATTTATTATGTGGTCTAATATGTTGCTGGCATTTCTGATGTATTTTCCAGAGTTCTATTTTAAGAAATGTTACTAGCACAAAAGGGAAATCAGGCTACTTAACTGACAGGGATAGTTCCCCTAAGCTTGCTGAAAATTCATGGAGCCAGGTTCCTTCAGGGCCTAACTTACAGGTCCTCAATCGCTTTCTGAATCCCATTTGTTTACAATAACAAAGCCTGGCCTTCCATACTAGGCACCTAAATTGCACTTATTCTCCTTATCAAAAATAGCAAAGAAGTATCCTCTGCCATTGATTCTACTGTGCAGTTTAAAAGATTTATATACTTGTCTGAAAGTTTCAAAGTAGTGTGGAGGATGTCCCGAGTCCTTGAAGTAAGGTAAACTTTTGGTAGAGTAGGTCAAATGGCAAAAACAGATATGTCTAAATCCATTCCAATGCTTTGAGTGCATTGGAATGAACCTCTGCTGTTTTTGTTATAACTAGCTTCTGGGCTTTTTCTTTGAAGAGACATTACTGTGGATTTCTCTATTTCTGTGCACAAAACTCATGTGCTAATTCCATGAATAACATGATATCTTGGTAAACTAAAGTGCTTTTGGTTGTCAAAAGCCCTTCTCTCAGATAAGACATTCCTAGTGTTTCACTGTTGTGAAAAAGGATTTTTTTTGGCATTTCCTGGGTAGGAGTTGTACCTACCCAGGCATTTCCTGGGTAGAGTTGTACCATAACCTGGTACCATAACCTGGTCAGCACCATCTGTAGGAAACTTTACCCTCTAAAGTTGTGAATCTATGAAATACTCTTGTTACTATGCAAGTGAGGTTCCTAGACTGCTCTTCTTAGTCAGTAATGACAGAATCGTACTCTTCTAGTGGCTTTCAGATAGCACCGTGTTAACTGTTAACAGGCAGACTGCTAGCACAAATAAACAAAATCAAATCCCATCACTGTGTTTTCTTTGAGGTCTTGAAGAGGTAACCTAATTCTTGCATATAGAGGGTTGAACGCCAAAAAAGTAATTTTCAAAAAGAATCAGTGAATACTCTGACTGTGAAATGAAATATGTGAAATCTATTAGAGATTTGGCAGTTTCTTCTTAGAAAGATCAGATAATTTCTTATTTGTTAAAAATAATGCAAAGCAATAGTGTTTTGTAAAAACTAACCCAAACGTACCCAACTTTCATAGGTTTCTCTGCTGCCTCTCTGCTAATTAGCGTTCTAACTAACCAGTTTTCTTTGGAGTTATGATAGTTTATCTCTGTGCACACATCTTCAAGCTTTGAAAACTATTCCTACTTAGACATCAGGCATCCTTTTTGATTCATAGAATCTCATGATGGAGCTTTTCCAAAAGCATCTCTTACACTATATTGCCCTTGGAGATGTCTTTCTGGTTACCATTAGCTTCATCATAAGATCTGTTGCTTTGTAGGTTGTATTTGTTGGGCATTCTCGCCTGTATAACACATGTTGTTATCACAGGATAGGCAATAAGTATTTTATCCCAAATTGTGAATGTAATCACTGAAGAAGTTGTTTGCAAATTGCATTAGTTCATTTCAGGAAGTTTTATTGTGACTCCTGAAAACGTGTCTATCTAGAATTTGGAAACTGTGAATCAAATGAAATTATTTTTTCTTTTTGGATATATTTTTATATTTCTAGCAGATAATTATTTTGATATTCAGCATGGAGGGAAGATGCATGACAATTCTACAGTGTTTAAGCTCTGTTCACTCAGCAGTGTGTAGCACATAAAATATTAACATAATTTTAAGACTGTAGCTTTCCTCTCTCTTCTCTTATAAAAGACAGAAAGTGTGGTATGGTATACAGCTTTACCAAAGTGTTTAATTTGAAAATGCCTGCCAAAAATTATTTTTATTTATTTGTTTATTTTTCAGCATGTAGATATATGGCCACCTGCTGGAAAAGCAAGAAAACAATCTATAACTAAAAGTCCAAAGATTGGAGGTTTGCCATTAATTCCCATTCAGCAGGAGAAGAACGCCTGTAAAATTGGAGGGAGTATAGAGGTAAATGGGGTTTAAACTTGCTGTGGAACTTCTAAACACAGTGCTGTGCTTTCTAATGGTCCAGGAACAGCAAGCTCTCTAGAGGTGCATAAATATAAAACGTTTGTTTTTTAGTGTCAGTGCCATTGACAATTCCATTGTTTTTCTATTAAAACAATAGTTAGGATAATTTAATATAAAAAGAATTGTGACCTAGTCGGGTACCAGCTTCTTTGCTGCTCAGTAAATTCATGGATGATTGTTGTTTGCTTTTCTGGATTTTGTTGGTTTGTTTGAATTTGAGCTAGAGCAGATCATTAGAAGTGAATAAGACTTAACTTGTAAATGCATTGAATGTTATTACAGTTTTATTTTCATGAAGTCCTTGAATACTGTGCTGCATGTGTATTTCACTGTATCTATTGCCAGAAAAAATGCGCCATTTTAGTTACATATCCTGTAAATGTAATGAGGAAGCCTGTATGGAACTGCTATACTTTTAAGTTGCAGTGTTATTAGCCTCAAAGAAGAGCACAGTTGGGGTGCAGAATATCTGTGAGTGACTTGAGTATCACACTACACTGCTTGAGCTAATGATACGTCTTAAATTTAGCATCTTAAACTAAGATAAATTCCTGGCACCCACACAGAGATATGTGGTGAGGCGTTATTGCCTTACCTCCAGCTGAGAAAATGTAGTGTAGTTAAAGCGTTAGTCTGTTTGGGGAAAAATAGTGATAACTAATCTGATGGCAACAGAGAAAGCATGACTTGGACCTTTGACTATACACAGTATTATTTGTTGCATGTTGCTCTGGAAGGGTTGTAAATAATAAGGGATGTGTTGTCAGCATTTAGAGACAGTGGTTGAGCACAGATGGGTGAGGCTACCTCAGTCCTGTAGCAAATGTTTGTATATATAAACAAGAAGACTGAGGTACAAGGGAAAAAATCCTTTCTTTAAAACCGTGATTGAATGCCATACTGACTTATAAAAGGTTTAACCTACATGTTGAAAGAAGCAAGTTGTCTTAAGAATAGTAAAGCATGTAACTAGATAGGTTCTTTTTTTTTTTTTTTTTTTTTTTGGAAATGTGCAGAAAAAAACCACAAATTATTATAAATTTATTTACTCATTATTTGCTTAAAGTGCTAAAGAGATAAAACAGCTTCTCGTAACGTGAAATAGTTGCTTTTTGTGTTACAGATTATTGGGAGAAAAGTATGGATTTCAGCAGTATAACTTAGAGCATATTTTTGTATTAGTATGCATTAGTTCACATATTAATAAATAATGTTATTAGGAAATAGGATATGGCATTTTTTTCACACATCATCTTGACATGTTATTAATAAGCTAAGGTACTACTATGTCTGTTTTACTGCTGCTAATTTTACTACTACTAGTTTCGTTTCAATTTGAAAATTAGGATTTGACTTCGTAAGGTGAATTAAGCTCCAAATCGTCTATGTAAAGTAAATATATGTCAATGTACTAGACTATTCCAAAAAAAGGAAGCATCTTTTAAATTTCAGTTTTATACTTGCTCTGTTGCTATTTCATTTAAAGGAAAGTTTACTGGGAAAAACACGTAGGGAGAGTGAGAAGGAGAGAAGAGGAGGAAGACCCTTGCTCATGTTGTTTAGCAGTGGAAGTATATTGATTTTTGATGTGTAGACAGAATTCTTCTCAAAAGATGGAAAATTTAAATGTGATGTACAAAAAAGTTATCAATAAAATGTATTGCTTCTGAGTGAAGTCAAAAACTGGCAAACAAAACCAGTAGAGGTATTATTGTATTGTCTACATAATTCAATAATACATAATGCAATAATATCAGGTTATGTGATAGTAGGCAGGGCATTCCATTTGTGGAAACACCTTGTATTTCTAGAACAAAATGAGATTTGGGATTTTTTTTCTTTTATATCTAACATCTTTTTGACTGCTGGAAAGCACTGAGGAGGGACCTTGATTTTTTCACCTTCTTGTGTGGCACTTGAACAATTGGGAGTCATTCACCCATGGCATATGAGCAAAATGTCTCGTGCAATTTCAATGCCTCATATTCATTAAAGCAAATGTGAAAAATATTCAAACCCTTTTTTAGGAAGAGAAGAGCTTGTTTGGTTATCTACATGAGCTTTCTATCCTGGATCAGGAGTTCACTTTTAAAGCAAATCTACCAATAGTTGCCGTAACTTCTTTGTATTATGAGAGCATGAGCACTTGTCTTTCAGATTAAACTGAACTGGAATTTGTTCTCCAAGACAATATCTAATGCAAATAAATAAGAATAGAGTCTATGGGAAAAGACTGAAGTTAGTTTAAAGTGCATTTAAAGAAAAGAAGAAGGGTATGGTGTAGCTATCAGATCCTCCATACTGTTTCACTGTGCATATATAGATGTCCTGCAACCTAGGAATTTGAAAACAGGTGCCAATATGGAACATTGCATTGCCCTCAGCTTGCTTTAGCTGATTTCTCAGTATGTGAATTGGGAGGCGTAATCTGAAAGATCAGACAAAGTCTTCTAATTTATGGGGCAGTGTTGAAGAGGTGCTGAGAATGTTTGTGTGTATGGAGTATTGCATTTTGCACATTGACCTAGCTCTGGCATGTTGTAATCAAAATGGCAACATTATGGTTTTTATTTAGAGTGTCATAAAGTTATAAAGACTACATAATCTGCTGTGTTTTGCTGCTGTAGAAAGTTTAAATTTAATCTACCGTGATGGGATGAAAAATCAAATTGTGAATGTCTTCAAAATGAATGTCTTCAATTCATTCACTGTCATGGTGCGATTAATTTGTAAATTTATGTAATTTTCAGAAGTATCACTAATCAAGCAAATATGCTCACTAAATCATAATAGCACAAATTGAGGAAATTTAGAACTATTAACTGTGCTATCCCAGGTCTTTAGCGAAATTGATTCTTCTTTTAAACTGTTATGTGAAAGCAGTATGCAAAATTGCAATCTAAATATTATTGAATATTGTGTTAATTTGAATGATCGTATTTATCTTTGCATGTTTACTCAGAATATAGATTTGGAATCTGGGAAACTCAAACTTGTTGAGCATCATGAGGATGACTCACTGGAAGAAAGAAAAAACTTGAAAGAAAAAGCATCTATTGTGGCACAGTGCTTGGAACGCAAGGAGGAAGAGGTGCGAAATCAAGCAAAGAAGCATCGGAGCTTGACCTGTGTGGAGGACAGAGGTAGGACTGACCAAAGACAACACAAGGAAGCAAAAGCACTGAAGAAAAATAAGAACAAAGCAAAAAAGACTACTTTGGATATGGATAGCAAATTGCCATCAAATGTGATTGAGGAATTAAATACGGTGCTGCAGAGAAACAGAGCACTTCATGATGAAACCTCCAGCTGATTTCTAAAGCTTAAAAGAAACAATATATATATATTTATGTATAGGCAGAAACTGCCTTTTTTGAAGTGTACATTTTGTACAGTGCAGAGGAAGTATAATTTGTTTACATGCAGCTGTTGATTTTATATATACTTATGCAACATTATAATTTAAGACTGAACTGATTATGTAACAATCCAGAAATTTGAAAGTTCTTGATGTTCTGTGCAATGGTACCAGGGTTTTGTCAATTTTTTTTAATGCAGATTTTATGTTAGATGTAAGAATTATAAGCACTAGTAAAAGCTTTGGCTCTGTTTATGCTTTCTACCATCTTGTAAGTACTGAAGAAATATTCTTTGAAGGAAGAGTAGAGACATGCTGAAATTCATAGTTCTGGTTTGCATCATTTTTAATTGCCTAACACTATATGAAAATAAGTAGCTTACCTGCCTTGAAGAGTGTTTTTAACATGTATTTTTTTTCTGCACTTAGGAATAAAATGAGTATCTTTTTTCGGAGATTTGTCCTCTATAGATTGGCCCATGAAAGGATCAAAAACGGGAAGGATGTAGTGTATATAAGGCAAAACTGTGTCTATATGATGTACATCTGATTGTGTCCTCTAAATAACGAAAAAAAATACTGAGGGTCCAAAAGGAATTCTTCCAAGCAATTTCATTTAATTTAATGCATGTATGAATTTGAAGGATAGCAGCATCTTTTTGCTCAACAGATTGGAGTAATTTTATAAATAGGAACTGGGTAGCTCAGGGTCAGAATGGCAGTTTTTTGCATGAGTAGGTCAGTGTTTAGATGTGGCTTGCTTGGTGCTAACAAAGGTGCTGATGAATATTTAATAGTCCCACTGAAAATAAATTTCCTCGGGAAAAATGGTCCCCACACAAATACATCCATCAAAAGGGCACTAATTCACTCAGTAAAGGAGTGCCAATTACTGCGTGTGAGAGGAATTAACCTTTCCTTTTATCGATAGGACAAGGTTGCACGTACGCTGCTCGCAGGGACTGTGAAAGGCTCGTGCTACTGCTCTCATTCTTTGGGGCATAAAGAGAGGTCACAAGGCTGAGACAACAGCAAGCATATGGTGTGTTACCTTGCAATTATTTGCTTTGGTTTTAAGCCAGGATCCTCAAAGATGAGGATCTGCCACCTAGGCTTTTTTTTTTTTTTTTTTTTTTAAATTTTTTTTTNTTTTTTTTTTTTTTTTTTTTAAATTTTTTTTTATTTTATTGTTTTTGTTTGTGCAAGCAGTGAAACTAAGCTTGGTTCTCTTCAGTTGTTCTGTGCATCTCACCTTTACTTATCCCATGGGATTCCCTGAGACTGCTTGGCGCTTCCCCAGTGAGGCAGGTGCTGGCTGCTTAGGACAGAGAGGTGCTGAGCTTGTCCTGCCAAATCGCAGCGCCTGCTTTATGTTGTTGCTTTCCCTTTTGTGGTCTGCCAGTTCTGTTTTTATTTGTACTGAGCAACTTCAATGTGAAAAAGGTTGTTTGGTTGAAGAAATTACTCAATGTATATGGTAGCTTTGCTAGGAGGTAAAGTGAGAGCAAAACAAATGGCTTTATAATGTTTCAGATTTACTCTTCTGGAATGTAGCACTGGCAAAGTAAGTTTAGTCTTTCACACTTTGCATTTATCACATTTGTCCAGTTGTTAAATCTGAAATGAGCTTGTACATTTTTATTTTCCCAGTGCACTATTGATTGTTTTGTTACTCTTAATTTGTAATTGTGCCTTTTCTAAGCATTGAGGCCCTGGCTCAAGAAAGGATGTAAGCCTGAATTTAAATTGTATTGACTGAAGCTAGTGCTTAATGTTAATAAGCGGTTTCTTAAATGCTGGATTGAATCAGGGTCTACTGCCATTGGGAGAAGTTACTTCCTTTCGGAGGCTGGACCTGAATGTTCTGTTTACACTTAGACATTTATTTGCAAACATTTTTCAGTATTGAGTCATGGTTGCATGGTTGCTGTATCGTTTATCTTTTTAGTGGCTTGTTAAAAATGACATTCACCTCACTGCAGATAGTCTCCTGCATCATTTAAGCCCTACGCTAATGGAATAAATGGAGCAATGGAAGCGTTTTGTGCACTGGAGTGAATATGTCAGTGCAGAGAATGTTTTGTGTATTTGTACTGGACCTGCAGTCTACAAAAATACTACTTCTATTTCAAAAGTAGATCATGAATACAGTATCTGTATGACTGCTGTTAAAGGACCCTAAAATCCAAGGAAAAAGATGTTTACTAAGATGTGTTTAAATGATTACTTTTCAATCACAGTTACACTGTCTTTGAAGCTATTGAATCCTCAGTGAAAGTTTGGGTTTGTATGTGTGTCTACATACACACATTGTATATATGTATGTGTTTTCAGTTATATGCACATATATAAAGTGAATTATGACAGTGTTAACTTATAGAAAACTTCTGTGGGAAAATCGAAATTGGTAATTAATCATTTGGAATAGGAATCAGAGACCTGTGCCAATTACCTGATAAATCACGGTTGCACTACACATTTCAGACTGACTTAAGACGTGAAGAATAAATGTGGTGTTTACTGCAATACCTTAATGGCTGCTGCTCTTTATTGTTCCTGTGTCATGCAATAGAATGGCAAAGGAAGTGTAATTGTCAGACTATGAATGGTAATTATTTGAATAAATGCTATTTCTCTATACTAGGTATGGCATTTCTTCAGAAAATAAGTTAATAAAAATAATTTTAAAAGTTTCTTTGTGTCTTTCCAGAACAGCTCTTTTGAATAGCCTGGGATTTTTTTTCCTCTTATTTGCAAAATTCATTAGATCAAGTATGGATACAATTGTATGCAGGTGCTGTAACAGTGGGAAGACTAGGATTAAAATCTCAGTAAATCTCAGATCCATCACTACTTTGTTAGACTCCTGCCATAATCATAGATGTAAAGCTGACATATAAAAATAACTTACGCTAATTATTTTAACATAATATATTTTCTCTATATTTTAAATTGGCATGGAGGAGGGAATAAATTTTTATTAATTGTCGTTAGCTAGGAAGACAAACCAAAGCAAAGTCAAAGAATTGTCAGTTAGTTTCTTTTCCCTTTTCCTTTCTTCTTTCCTTTTTTTTTTCTTCTTTCCCCTTTTCCTTTTTCTCTTCCTTCCCTCCACCCCCCCCTTTATTTTTCTATTTTTTTTTCTCTTTTTCCCTTTTTTCCTGTCTGGATTTGGATTTTTTTTTTCATCCAGATCTTATTCTGTGATGTTATTTTCAGCAGATTCAACCGCAGAGACTGCTTCAACATGGGATTGGTTTGACCATCTGAGATGTGCAGAGTATTTATGCTGAGCTTCTGCTTTACTGTGCCACTCAGGATGAGACATAATCTCTGCATTATAAGGTTTGGTGGATGGTATTCAAGAATCTGTCTAGTGTGGGAAATTTGTTTATATCCCTGAAGACAACTTCAGTTCATGGGGCAATTTTCTGGGCATGTTTTTGTTTTTTCATTGTGAAGTACTCTGCATTGTAGAGTTGGAGAAAGACTTCTGCTAAGGATGGTGGTGATGTCTGCATAAGCCAGGGGTTAAGGCAACTTCCTGTCTGTGAGACTTTATGGACATTGTCCCTGTCTTGTCACCTTTCTTATTTTTAAATATCATTTATCCTATGTGAACTGGCTCAGTGTGAGAGAATCAGTTAGCAGACTGCTTCTGGCATCTGAATCAAAACAACTTCAGTTGTGCTGGAATCCAAATAAAAACAGAATTAAATAAATGTACTGGCTCAAGTCCCTGCTGTGAGCTTTGCAGAGCCTAAGGAATACATTAGATTTGAACTACTTAGCCATAACTGGAAAATCTGCGGATTGAGTAAGTTGTATTGGGAAACCTGAGCTGGGTATGTTTGAAGTACAAACAGAACAGCATGATGGATGGAATGTATTCCAGGTAGAGTGTTTGAAAAAATACATATACTGACTTACAATCCTGAGTCCATTGCAGCAAGATGGGTTGAGCCCATCCAGTTTTGTTTGTGATTCACATTACCTCTAGTTGTCATACACTTTTACTTGAAACTCTATTGCAAGCGGGATTCATCAGCTGGTGAGTTGAGAAAGGAAAACAGGATCAGAAAATAATTGATGTTAGAAGAGACTGTTCAAAGTCACATACAGCAGGCTAGCCAGGGCCCTGTCTGGGTGATTTTTAAGCATCTTCAAGGATGGAGACTCCACAACCTTTCTGAGCAACCTGTTCAGGTGTATGACCGCCCTCAAAGCCAACAAGTATTTTCTTATGTTCAGGTGGAATTTTCTGTGTTTCAGTCTGTGCCTGTTACCTCTTGTACTATCACTGGATGTAACTGAAATAGCCTAAATTACTCAGAAATTATTGTTGTTGTCTTTCATATACACTCATTTTGTTTGCTGCCTTGCTGCCAGTGATTCATTTGTTACCCAAACTTTAGTCCTACTTTCTACATAGATCCTGTGACTTCCCTGGCTGTTGACTTTGGCATGGCTTGCTGATGTGGGTCATGGCCCAATCCAATATATCAAGCTTGCTTTAACTTTTATCTCAAGTCCTGATAGAAGTCTTCTCATTGTTGCCTTGTAAAGAAAGGGACTTCACTAAACTGGCCAAGAACAAGAGAAGTTTAAGAGCTGGCATATATAGAGAGAACCTCAGAGCTGATAGGTTGCTCCATATTCATAATGCTACCCACTGCAAAGCTTTGTAGCCCAGCTCTATAAATGCCCCTGAAGTTGTTCGACATATTTACATTTATAGACCTTAGCAACTTGGAAAGCAAATTTTAAAGCAAATGGGCTCTGTTGGCTCTTTAATTTATTTTAGTTCAGTGCCTTAATAATCCTATAATATGTGTTGTGCTTGGTAATAAAAAATGCATTTTCTTGCAAATTGTACCTTTGGTTACATAATCAGCAAGGCTTTTTCATTTAAAATTTAATTAGCATTGGTTTGTCCAGTACTGCAGACTACTTAAGAGCTAATAGCTTGGAATAAATCAAGGTTTAGTGTATATATGAGTTTTATAACTTGTCATTTTCTTTCCTATCTGTGTTTCCAATATGTTCTATTTAAAAGCTAATAATGTGTTTGTATTTGACTAGTTTTGGTTTATACGTCTATTTAATTTACAGCATGACTGAAATGTATTTCCTTCTAATAGGCTTTAGCCATTAGCATTTATTTTCCGTATGTCTTATTAGTTTAAGTTTGTCCTGCATTTTAAGTTTGTTTTCATTTTTGGCTGTTTACTTGTTCAGACTATACCCTGGAATTGGTAGCACGCTTTGGATTATACATATTGTAAATTGTATATAACACTCCCAAGGTCTTCCCAGACTTTTATAGGCAGAACATATAGTTACTTGGGGCTCTTCACTGTATTTTCCTTAAAGTGGAAACCAGAATTTATGGGAGATTATTCAGCTTCATTGTAGGTGAATATCAACTCAGATTCTTTGTAAAATCACTTAGTGAAAAATAGTAAGTTTTATCCATATGCTGGAGACTGTTGATTTAGTGCCCTCTCTATCTGTCACACTCTAGTACAGTACAGTTTAAGTAGATAAAATTAGATTAGCAAAAGTTGCCATTGGACCTTTTTTAAAAATTTTCATTGCCAGTGTACATAAAACTAAATATGTAATATCTGTGAAATAGAGCAAAAATACCTCCTAGCTTGACAAAGTTGCTTATTACTCATTAAGCAGAAAAACAGAATTTATTATAGCTTCTTTTCTTTTTTCCTTACAGCTTTAAAAGAAAGGTTCTTACTAGCTTGGAATTTCTATGCATATTCTATATTAGTAACAGAGTTTCATGTAGACGGCTTATCTTCAAAGACCTTTATTTTGATGAAGAAAAATTACTTATCAAGATGAATTGAAATCTAAAGTATTTTACAACAGACCTTTTACAAGGATTTGCTTTTCTATCTACATTAGAGCAGCTTTTTTACTTCTCTCTAAATAGTAGCTCTGGGATAAATACATACCCTGCAACTATTTTTATGTCAGCCACCAAATAAATTAAATAAAAAAGTCTCTTGATTGACTTCATAAACTATGCAAATTTGAGTTATTTGCCCTTTATGATCAGAATTTTTCAAAACAACCTCACAGC